TCATGTGGCCAGCATGACTACGCCGCTTCTGGCAAACCAGAGCAGCGCACGGAAATGCCGTTTACCTTCCCACTGGAGTGGTATCTATTTATCTACTTGCACTTTGACGTGCTTTCGAACTGCTAGGTTGGCAGGAGCAGGGACCAAGCAACGGGAGCTCACCCCGTTGCGGGGATTTGAATCGCCGACCTTCTGATCGGCAAGTCCTAGACTCTGTGGTTTAAGCCACAGCGCCACCCGCGTCCCTGTAGTACTGTTATTCTCACTGATTTATTAATCACCTTCTAAACCACCGTCGCAAGGCAATTTACATATGAGCTTCGGCTAGGACAAGACCTTCCTATGTGCAGGAAGAGAGTTTGGACACAACACAGAGCTAAAAACCTCCAGAGGATTGTCCACAGTCTCTATGTGTTGTTGTTTTTTTACTTTATTTAAATCTTTGCTACACCACCCTTCAGTTCAGCAGGGATATTAATTAGCCGAAGCATGAAGCAAGGCTCCATGGCTAGAGAGCCCCAAAAGCAGGCCTTGCGTTAGATCAGGCATAGGCAAACTCGGCCCTCCATATGTTTTTGAGACTACAACTCCCATCATCCCTGACCACTGGTCCTGTTAGCTAGGGATGATGGGAGTTGTAGTCTCAAAAACATATGGAGGGCCGAGTTTGCCTATGCCTGCTTTAGATACAGTTTTCACCGACTGGACGCCTCCAGCTGTTCTGGACCACAACCGCCAGCAGTGCCAGCATCATCAGGCCTTGCTAGCTCAGGCTGATGGGAGTTGTAGTCCACAACATCCTGACGGCACCTGGTTGGGGGAGGCTGCTTTAGGTCATGGGGTGCCTGGAGAAGGGTGATCTGTGCATGGCCAGATTTGATGTGGAAGCAGACGTGCCCTCCAGTATTACGATTCCCAAACCACAGAGGGCTTAAAGGGCAGGCGCTATTGCTCCGAAACAGACCAGAAACCAGTGGGGCTTCTGAAGCCTCACTGAGAAAAGTTGCCAGTGCCAGGTCCCAATTAGCAGCCTTAAGTGGCTGTGTTTTGAACTCGGTGCTGTTTCCAGGAAGTCTTCAAAATAATAATAATAATAAATTTTATTTATACCCTGCCCTCCCCGGCCAGAGTCGGGCTCAGGGCGGCTAACACCAATAAAATTTCAGTAAAAATATAATGGGGGGAACTCTTTAAAATACAGGTTAAAATGTAATTTAAAATGCAGCCTCATTTTAATAGTAGCCCATAGATCAAAACCATAAGGAGAGGGAAACATATGGGTGAGACCGAGTCCAAACCAAAGGCCAAGCGGAACAGCTGTCTTGCAGGCCCTGCGGAAAGATGTCAAGTCCTGCAGGGCCCTAGTCTCTTGTGACAGAGCATTCCACCAGGTCGGGGCCAGTACTGAAAAGGCCCTGGCCCTAGTTGAGACCAACCAAACCACCCTGTGACTTGGGACATGCAAAATGTTGTCATTTGTGGACCTTAAGGTCCTCCGCGGGGCATACCAGGAGAGGCGGTCCCGTAGGTATGTGGGTCCTAGGCCGCACTATGCACAGTGCATTGCAGACGCCTAACCCAAAGGCCACCGCCAGAGCTCCAACAAGCTCCCTCCACACAGGAGGGGCCGTAAGCCGAGTGAAAGGCACTCCATGCGCCTTTGCTGTTTCAGCGCTGCAAAACTCTGGTCCCTTTTGCCATTTTGGCCACCCTTTTGCAAGTTCAGACAACCAGGGGTTAGCACAGTTAATTGTGTGAACTCTATGCACAACCACACCCCCTGGGTGTGATCTGGCCACTAGCGGCTGCAGAACAAGAATGGATTAAGTGGCCGCGTCTGCAGCAACCTGTTTAATCATGACCCCTAATAAAGTGTGGTTTCATCAAGGGAAATATTTTTCTTCCGATCACAGACACTAGAAATCCAGGAAGGTTGTATCTTGGGGAGCTCGTCTCCCGAGTGCCTAAAACTCAACTCAAAGAACTGTTTTACTTTCCTCTCCTTCCTCTGTGGAGATGTGGCCTCAGAACTGTCTGCCTGCCTCCCTCACCCTGCCCACCATTCAAAGAACGGAAGAGCCCCACCAGACCAGGTTGGCCGACGAAGCACCAACTCCAGAAGAAGCAACAGAGAGCCACCACACAACACCATGGAGCTGTCGTCCTCTGCCAGGCGCAACTGCGCATTTCGGAAGACTATCTGAACATCACACAACTGCCAAGATCCCAACAATATTATGAAAATAACTACAGTGGTGCCTCGCAAGACAAAAAGAATCCGTTCCGCGATTCTCTTCGTCTAGCGGTTTTTTCGTCTTGCGAAGCAACCCCATTAGCGTCTAAGCGGATTAGCGCTATTAGCGATTTAGCGGCTTAGTGGCTATTAAAGGCTTAGCGGCTAAGCTGTTAAAAGTCTATTAATGGCTTAGCGCCTTTGAAAAAGGGGGGGGAAAGCGGGGGGAAAATGGCGAGACTCGCAAGACGTTTTCGTCTTGCGAAGCAAGCCCATAGGGAAATTCGTCTTGCGAAGCGCCTCCGCAACGGAAAACCCTTTTGTCTTGCGGGTTTTTCGTCTTGCGAGGCATTCGTCTTGCGGGGCACCACTGTAAACCCAAATTTACTAATGGGAAAAACAGTTTCTCAATGGAGGAATGGGTGCTGACTGCTGCTGATGACCGTACCAAGTCCACCTAGCATGGAGGCAGTTACTATACCCTGCAGCAATGAATTCCACAGGTTAATAGCACACTGCACAAAACGTGTCCACCACAACCTAATAACAGACATGTCAACAAGTCACCACCTCCAGGCAGGAAGAGGCTTTTCTTTAAAAAGAAAGAAAAGCGTGTTTTCCCCTTTCCCTTTTAGACCACAGAAGGTTGAAAGTGAGTTGTTGCAGTCAGGCCAGCCGATATCTTTGCATCCGCTGCGTTGTGGTCCAACAATGGGTGAATCTATTCAACACTCCCAGCACTGTGTACAGCTTTCTAAATCTATTCTCTGTTTATTTCCCCACAAGAGGTAAGAAATCTCCAAAATATATCTGCTCTCTGATGGTTTCCATAGAAAGCCACCTTATACAGTCAGACCATTGCTCTGCCTTACTCAGCGTCACCTACACCATACACCAGGGGTCAGCAACCTTTTTTAGCTGTGGGCCGGTCCACCGTCCCTCAGACCATGTGGTGGGTGAGACTGTATTTTGAAGGGGGGGAAATGAACAAATTCCTATGCCCCACAAATAACCCAGAGATGCATTTTAAATAAAAGGACACGTTCTACTTGTGTAAAAACACACTGATTCCCAGACCGTCTGCGGGCCAGATTGAGAAGGCAATTGGGCCACATCCGGCCCACGGGCCTTAGGTTGCCTACCCCTGCCATACACACTCCAATCCTGCCATGTCTGTTGCAGATTTGGCAACCAGCACCACACACATGCCCCTGGCTTTATAGCAGAAGAAGAGCTTGTTGGCCAGAAAGCCAGACTTCAACACAAGCCACCCACTGCCAAGTACACTGGCATTCAGGGTCTGTCCCAAGGCTGTAATACTGGGAGCAAGGTAGTCCTATATTGACTGTTTGCACAAAGAAGTAATCAAAGACTGGGCAGTAGGCATGAAACTCCCCACTGCCAAACTGCCTTTTAAAACCTCTTAAAGGAGTTTTTTTGCTACCACATTACAGGGCTGCAGATAACCACCTTTTCCCGCCAGAGGTTCTCTTCAGCCAACCAGCCACACAGAAGCTGTTGCCGCACAGGTCAAAACATTGTGCCCTGCTACAAACAACTTCCATACACAGATGTCCACGTGCGAGTTATACACCCAAACTTTATAAGGAGGTGGCATCAAAACTAACTCAACAGGCAGCAAGGGAATAATATAGAAGGAGACTAAAAGAAAGAAAAGGAAACCAGGACTCCAAAAACCCCACATATCACACTCCGCTTCTCAAAGGCATTTTGGCAGTGGAGTTTGTGGATGCAAATTATTATGGGTCATTTAGCAAGAGAATGCTATCTTCACTCTGCCTTGCCCAAGAAGCGTTTGTCTGTCATGCAATAGCTTTCTGCAGGCTGGTGACCTTACAGGATCCTGTCCCAACACTGAACTTGGAACTCCACCGAACTGCGGATCTCTCTGATCTGCGCGCGCGCACACGCGCCCCCCAAATCTCTTCCTAAGGAAACAGGGAGCGTTGCAGGGAACCACGGCAATCCTCTCGCAGCCCGCGTCATTTCGAGGTCTCCGCAAGCATGACAGGAGGGGAGTGGCGAAGCGGCAAAGCCTTCAGGGGCGCCGGAGCCACCCCGCACCCTTCCTCTTTGCACGGGCACCGGGGAACCACAGGGCGAGCCCTAGGGGGCCGGGGCGGGTGGGGAAAGTCTCGTGTCCGTCCTGCCCCAGGGGCTCCCCCCCCCCCGCTTGCAAAAACGTGCAATGGGCCTCCGCAGGGCGAGCGCGGCAAGGGCACAATGCAATCAGGGATGCAAGGCGAATGGGTTGGGTTGGGCTTTTTTTTTTGCAGCAGCAGCGAGAGCAAGAAGCACCGGGGCTTTGCATGCACACGCAAGAGGACGACCTCCGCCGCCATGCACGAGAGCGAGGGGGGTCCGGGGGTGCAGCAGAGGGGCCCCCCGTTTTTTTAAAAAAAGGAAGGGCGTGCAAGGGAACGGGAGGCGCAATGCAAAGGCTCCCAGGACGGAGCAAAGGCGTTGACGCCCGGCACTTTTTTATGGGGGGGGGGGAAGGTCCCCTGCGTCTCCATGAGGCGCCTCCGCAGGAGAGGGGGGAGGGGCGGCCCGGTCACCGCAGCCCCCCGAGGGGGCGGGGCCCTCGCTCTCCCTCGGCGGCGCGTGTGTGTGTGTTGGGGGGTGTTGCGAAGGGGGGAGCCCCTCTCCATGGCGACGGGGGAGGGCGGGGCCCCGAGGGAGGAGTGGGGTGGGGGCTCCCCGGTTCCCATGGCGACGGGGGGGGCGGCCCCTCGGCGTCTCTTACCCGCAACTGCTCCGCGCGCGCGGGGTGGAGGAGGAGGAGAGGGGGGGACGGGAGAGGGGAAAGAGGAGGAGGCCGCAGCGGCGTCTACGGCTCCGCTTCTCTCGCTCTCCTTCCTCCTCTCGCCGCTTGTTTGTGTTTGTAACCAAGATGGCCGCCCTCCTCCCGGTCACGTGACGCGGGCGCCCAGAGGCAGGCCGGGGAGGAGGGGAGGTCACGTGGCGGGGGAAAGGCGGGTAGAGAAGGTTTTTTTAAAAAAAAAAAGACGAGGCGTCGCGCAGGCGCAGTCGCGCCTCCGTACGTGAGCGCCCGGCGTCCCGTTTCCCCTTTCACGCTCGTCACGTGTGCGGAGTCCTTCTCTCCCCTCGTGCGCATGCGCGCGCTCCCCCGACTCCCCCTCGAGCGTTGCAGAGGTAGAAGAGCGAGGCCGGCGCCCCGCCTCAGCGTCACGTGACCAAGGCCGAAGCCGGAGCGGCACGCTCGGACGCCGAGACGTATCACGTGACGAACCTGGCTGCGGCGATGACGTCATGCGCTTCGCTCTGACGCCCTCACGCCGAAAAATGACGCGCTCTTTTAAAAAAGAGTCGAGCGTCTCCCAACGGGAGGCGGGGCCTGTTCCTTTTTTTTTTCTCGAGGTCACGTGTCCCTGAGGCGCTTCCCGCTCCGGGGCCTCGTAGGCCCCACCCTGAGGCGCCTCTCAAGGGCGCGGGATCAATAGCCCGGGGGAGGAGGAGGCTCCAAAGGCCGCGGATAATGGCCCCAATTTGGGAAAAAATAAGAGTAATAAAAACCTGTGTATGGGCCCATAGGTATTTATATAGAGGTCTAAATACGGCCATATATACATTATATAGATTTCTATATCATATATATCAATATATAACATGTAAAGATAAATATATATATATGCTGTATAAATATTTTTTTGCACATACATGCACACGCGCCCTAAAAAGTACAATTAATACCGGCCGTTAAAGCCACGCAGTTTAAGAAGCAAGGAGTCCTTATTTATATGCGATTGTGCAGAAAAGGGGCCTTTTTTAAAAAAAAAACAAATAATTTTTATTAAGTACAAGTTAGAAAACATACATATTGACAACAAAAGAAAATACAAAGGGGAAAAAATACATATAACCAAGGAAAAAAATTACGAAAAAAAAATTCTCTAAAGAGGGCCTTTTTCTTTTGGGGCCGTCTCTGCCTCGGGCGACCCTGGCGCTCTCCGCCAGCGGCCGTGGGCCTTCTGACCGACGAGGCCAGGAGGGACCGGGGCCTGGATTATGGCGACTGACCCCCACTTCAGGCCGGACCCCGGGGCCTCCGCTTTTGGGGACGGAAGATGGCGGAGGCGCAGCGTGGTTCCTGGAAGCCTCGCGCCTGGCCCTGGCCCTGGCGGTCTTGCGTTCGAAGCCGCCCGGCGTAAGCGGCAAGGAGCACGCGGAGCACCTGGCCAGGATAGTGTCCGGAAAGGATCCCCGGGAGAAATCGCGAGTGGAAGCTTTGGAAGCGGAAGTGGTTCGCCTGAGGCAGCAGCTCCTCCTGAGCAAAGTTTACCCGGGGTTCGGTTTCGGAGAACGGGGATCCAGCCGTCGCCAGCAATGAAGCCCTGGCCCCTTGTCCGTGTGGACGATCAATCCGGCCATTTGGAAGATTCCGGGTGCAGCGTCTCAAACGACGACCTGGCGGACACGCAAGAGGCCTCCGCTGCCTTCAGCCACAGCGAGCGCGGTCCTGCGTCCGACGCTTCATCCGTATTGTCCATGTTGGCTTCCTCCCGTGCCGGCCCAAGCAAGTCTTTGGTTCCTCACATACAGTTCCTACGACGTTTCCTTGAGCTCAAGCGGCTGGCAGAGCATGGCGGTGTAAGAACAGACTTGGGAAAACTCGGAAGGGATTCTTCCGCAATATCTGATTCTTTCTCTCGGTTGCTCGATGGCCTGGTTGCCGCCTATAGTTTCCCCGAAGTGCCCTTCTCAGATTTTATGACTCGGGCAGTTTGTGCCGTCATAACCGAGTTATTAAGCGATGCTGATGTATCTCGACAGATCTTGGGGAAGTGTCTTAAGAAGCTGGAAGACTCTGTGGAAAGACTCATAGACGTTGTATTGAACAGTAGCCACCTCAACAGATTTCAGGTTCAGGAGTCTATATCCCATGCCCTTGTTTCGATCGGACAATGCAACAGATTGAGAAGGCACACAATATTCCTGCTCTTCAGAGAAGTCAGCCGATTTGCTGATGAGTTGCAGCACGCCGATGAGATTCAAGCTGGGCGCGACACACGATATGAAAATATTTTCTTTCTGTGTAGAGCTTTGGAACAGCTTCTGGAAATAGGGACAGAGGAGGAAAATGTTGCTGCCCCTTCAGGCTGCGATGAGGAAGAGAAGAAGATGTTTCTACATAAACTTGACCAAGCCATTTTTCACCTCTGTGACGAATTTCCCTTGTTCTGTATTTATTTATGGCGACTAGGCACTCTTTTGAATGTGGCACACACTCAGACTGGTGGAAGAAGCTGGCCTGCTATGTAGCAGTTCATGACTGAGCCTGGAAAATGAGGCTAGCAGGGACTGAGCCATGTCCGCCAACGAAAGGAAATGGGACCGCCATTATAAAGAGCATGGGATTAAATAAATAAAGTCTATGACTGCAGGGTTTTTAACTTTGCTCGTTCCCAACTTTACACCTTTTGTTCTTTCAATTTTGTATTTAAAAAAAATATTTTGTACTCCTTCAATGGCCGGTTGACCGTAATAAACATTTGATGGACGCATGAGCTGTGGTTTTATTTTGATTCAGCTTTCCATTCTGTTGCCGTAAACCCGCTTTTGAACGTGCTGGAAAAAGGCAGCATGCACGTGATTGAAAAGAGATGTTCTGATGTTTGTTCCAGTCAGTTGTTGTTGTTGTTGTTTGGTCGTTTAGTCATGTCCGACTCTTTGTGACCTCCTGGACCAGAGCATGCCAGGCCCTCCTGTCTTCCACTGCCTCCCACAGTTTGGCCAAACTCATGTTCGTAGCTTCAAGAACACTGTCCCACCATCTTGTCCTCCGTCGTCCCCTTCTCCTTGGGCCCTCCATCTTTCCCAACATCAGGGTCTTTTCCAGGGAGTCTTCTCTTCTCATGAGGTGGCAAAAGTACTGGAGCCTCAGCTTCACGATCTGTCCTTCCAGTGAGCACTCAGGGCTGATTTACTTTAGAATGGAGACGATCGATCTTCTTGCAGTCCATGGGACTCTCCAGAGTCTCCTCCAGCACCAGAATTCAAAAGCATCCATTCTTCGGCGATCAGCGTTCTTTATGGTCCAGCTCTCTGCGACAAATCTCTTGGAAAGACAGAGGAGAAAGCAAGGTATGAACACAAGAAGAACCCCAGCAGCAGCAGCTGAATCGGGCCAAAGGGCGGCCCAATTATCTCAGCATCCTGTTCTCACAGTGGCCAGCCAGATGACCCTGTGAGAAACCCACAACCAGAAAGAAGAGAAATGGTGGGAAGTGGGCTTGGCGGACAGTCAAGGGACTATACCCGCCAGCATCCCACTGATCAAAATATGTACGCTCATTTTTTTTGGTCCTGAGCTCTCGTGGGAAGCAGCTGACTCAGGCAAGAACATGAGACCAAAAAAACGATTGCCATTTGACATTCTGGGGTGAGCCAGCTGATTAACACAGAGCGCAAGACCCAAAAAAGCGTATTTTGGTCCAGCGCAATGGTGCTCCCTGGCTGTTTTGGTCACAACTAACATACCCAGCCAGTATTTTTGATGGGAGTTGTAGTCTAGCAAGATCTGGATGCCCACCCTTGATCCAAGGAGTGGCAGAACCAAAACCAGCCGACGGTGCAGGGAGTTGCTGCTTTTCAGGGATGACTCTTGCACTGCAGGGAGATGAGGCTGTCCGCTGCCCTAGCTAGATGTCCCAAGAAGGAATGCAGGCAGTCATGGAAACAGTGATGTGTTGCAATTTGTTTATCGGCCCAACCTAATTTATTATGGGTGGTTGCCCCAAGATGTTGTTCTCTATCTCTTATCTGTTGGTGACGATGGCAAAGGGTTCCCCTGGATCCATCCCAAGGTTCAATCACCGTGACACATCCTTGGCACGCAACAGACTTGGAAGGTATCGCTGCCACCATGCTCTGCCCAGCTCTGAGTCTAAACACATTAGCACTCGATGAAAGGCTGGGAGGCTTTGCAATGTTCCTCTGCTTTTCAATATATGGCTGCGTAAAGGGGACCCCTGACAATTAGGTCCAGTCGTGGCCGACTCTGGGGTTGCGGTGCTCATCTCGCTTTACAAGCCGAGGGAGCCGGCGTACAGCTTCCGAGTCATGCGGCCAGCATGACTAAGCCGCTTCTGGCGAACCAGAGCAGCGCACAGAAACGCCGTTTACCTTCCCGCCGGAGCGGTACCTATTTATCTACTTGCACTTTGAGGTGCTTTCGAACTGCTAGGTTGGCAGGAGCAGGGACCGAGCAAAGGGAACTCACCCCCTTGCGGGGATTCGAACCGCCAACCTTCTGATCGGCAAGTCCTAGGCTCTGTGGTTTAACCCACAGCGCCAGCCGCTTCCCTTATACACACCGTTTAAAGCACACACACACACAGAATCCTGGGAACTGTAGCTTAATCCTCACAGAGCTACCATTCCCAGCACCCTTAACCAAACTGAGATCCCAGGATTATTGGAGGGGTGCTTTAAACATAGGCTGCATTGCTGCTCTCCAGTGTTCACACATCAGCAAAACTCTGCAAATGAAGGCCCCTTATTCTGCGCATTAAATTCTTTCTAGGGGGTGACATAAGATTTGTGTTATCTAATCTCCCACCCCCGAATTGTAGCATTGGAACGGACCACAAGGGTCATCAAGTCCAACCCCCTGCAATTAAGGATTCTTTTGTCCTGCGTGGGGCTCAAACCCAACGCGATCCTGAGATTAAGATGTTGAGCTTTCATTTGCTTCATCCCATCAATCTGTGTGGCATAGAATCCTGGTAGTGAGATCTGCAAATGTGAGCAGTTTAGGATACGGAGCAAATAGAACCATTGAATTGTAGAATTTTACTGCCTTAGATTTCCCCCGTGCCACAAAATCTCTGCCTGCCCACTCTCCTCCAGATCGTTGCCACCCCAAACGGAAACTTGGGACTTAAAGTGTGGATGGACAGCTCTCTTCGGAGGTGGGGCAGGGTGGGGCTGGCTAACGGAGGTACACGTTTAATCATCATGGTCGGGGCAAAGGTACGCCGTGGGATGTGATTCCTGTTGCTCTCTGCCCCGTGGGGAGGGGAGCTGAGATGATATATCAATGGGTTGTTGCACTTCCACCGGCCTGATCGCTCCAGCATCCCACAGGATGGGCACGGAGGCAGCCGGGCACCTCCTGACATTGCTCCTGGTACTCGAGGGCATTGCTGTAGGATGCCAAACCAGAGGCGAATCGTCCAGGTGAGAGGCGGTGTGGAAGGGAGCAGGAATGCGGGGATAGAGCTGCTGGGATCAGCTTTTGGTTACTGGAAAATCATTGTTGTTGTTTAGTCGTGTCCGCCTCTTCATGACCCCCTGGACCAGAACACGCTTGTCTTCCACTGCCTCCCGCAGTTTGGTCAAACTCATGCTGGTAGCTTCAAGAACACTGTCCCACCATCTCGTCCTCTGTCGTCCCCTTCTCCTTGCGCCCTCCATCTTTCCCAACATCAGGGTCTTTTCCAGGGAGTCTTCTCTTCTCATGAGGGGGCCAAAGTCTTGGAGCCTCAGCTTCAGGATCTGTCCTTCCAGTGAGCACTCAGGGCTGATTTCCTTCAGAATGGAGAGGTTGATCTTCTTGCAGTCCATGGGACTCTCAAGAGTCTCCTCCAGCACCAGAATTCGAAAGCAGCCATTCTTCGGCGATCAGCCTTCTTTATGATCCAGCTTTCACTTCCATACATCACTAATAATAGAACACAGTAATAGAAAATAAGCGGGTGGCGCTGTGGGTAAAACCTCAGTGCCTAGGACTTGCCGATCGCATGGTCGGCGGTTCGAATCCCCGCGGCGGGGTGAGCTCCCGTCTTTCGGTCCCAGCTCCTGCCCACCTAGCAGTTCGAAAGCACCCCCAAGTGCAAGTAGATAAATAGGTACCGCTTTATAGCGGGAAGGTAAACGGCGTTTCCGTGTGCTGCGCTGGTGCAGGCTCGCCAGAGCAGCTTCGTCACGCTGGCCACGTGACCCGGAAGTGTCTCCGGACAGCGCTGGCCCCTGGCCTCTTAAGTGAGATGGCGCACAACCCTAGAGTCGGACACGACTGGCCCGTACGGGCAGGGGTACCTTTACCTTTACCTTAATAGAAAATAATTGAACACAGTAATAGAAGTTCACCAGTCTAGATGGCTTTAAAAGAGGATGGGACAAATTCACACAGGAGCGGACTATTGGTGGCTCCTTACCTCTCTCGCCCTGACCTAGCCACTGTGATCCACGCGACGGTCACCTCCAGAGTTGATTATTGTAACTTACTCTACGTGGGGCTGCCCTTGAGACTGACCCAGAAACTCCTGCAGGTGCAGAATGCCGCTGCGAGACTCCTCACGGGGTCCTTGCCTCAGGATCACATTCACCCGGTGCTATACCAGCTACACTGGCTCCCGGTGGAGTACAGGATCAGGTTTAAGGTGCTGGTTTTAACCTTTAAAGCCCTATACGACCTAGGACCCTTGTACCTACGGGACCGCCTCTCCTGGTATGTCCCATGGAGGACCTTACGGTCTTTAAACAAAAACATCTTGGAGATCCCAGGCCACAGGGAGGTTAGGCTGGCCACAACCAGAGCCAGGGCTTTTTCGGCTGTGGCCCCGATCTGGTGGAATGCTCTGTCCCAAGAGACTAGGGCCCTGCGGGACTTGACATCTTTCCGCAGGGTCTGCAAGACAGAGCTGTTCCACCAAACCTTTGGCCAGGGCACAGTCTGACCCCCTCTCTCCTGTAATCCTCACAGAACTCTAGCCCAATGTTTGCCATTAATTTGATTTTGAATTGATTTTAGAATGAATTGATTTTAGAATGCTGCATTACTTTATTGTTGTTAGCTGCTCTGAGCCCGGCTTCGGCTAGGAAGGGCGGGATATAAATTATTATTGTTATTATTATTATTATTAGCCATGAGCTCTACCTCCACAGTCAGAGGCAGCAACTGCTTCTGAATACCAGTTGCTGGAAACCTCAGGAAGGGGAGAGCGGGCTCTTGCGTTCAAATCCTGTTTGCGGGGTTCTCATTGGGTTACCTGGTTGGCCACTGTGAGAACAGGATGCTAGACTAGATGTTCCCCTTTTGGCCTGATCCAGCAGGCTCTTTTGACGCATAAAGGATTTCCAGCCTCCTAATTTTGGGGTGCGGGGACAGGAAAGGGAGCAAAAGAGTAAAGAGCAAGTAAACATATTGCGTTGGTTTTCCCCACAACAAGGGAGACCCTTTGTTGATCGAACAGAAAGCGGATTTTCAAAGGATACCACACTCTGCATTTTCGTGGCAACCCTGCGGACATGCCAATTAAGATGATGGTCCAGAACTCTCAAAGCTCTCTGGAAGTTTCTCCTTAACCTCTCCTATAATGCAGCCTTCCCCCGATCTGGTGAACTGCAGGTGTTTTGGACCACAACTCCCATTGTTGTTGTTGTTGTTTAGTCGTTTAGTCATGTCCGCCTCTTCGTGACCCCCTGGACCAGAGCACGCCAGGCCCTCCTGTCCTCCACTGCCTCCCGCAGTTTGGTCAAACTCATGTTGTAGCCTTCGAGAACACTGTCCCACCATCTCGTCCTCCGTCGTCCCCTTCTCCTTGTGCCCTCCATCTTTCCCAACATCAGTGTCTTTTCCAGGGAGTCTTCTCTTCTCCTGAGGTGGCCAAAGTCTTGGAGCCTCAGCTTCAGGATCTGTCCTTCCAGTGAGCACTCGGGGCTGATTTCCTTAAGAATGGAGAGGTTGGATCTTCTTGCAGTCCTTGGGACTCTCAAGAGTCCCATTAGCCCCCAGCCAATACTCCAAGAATCCAAGCTGACAGGTGGACTTCCAACCTCTGTTGGAAAACTTCCAATGAAAGAAAGTTGACAGCCTCCTGAAGGAGTCCATTCCACTGTCAAACTGCTCTTAACCCTCAGAAAGTCTAGTCGGAATCTCCTTTCTTTCGGTTTGAATCCATTAGTTCAAGTCCTCTCCCCTGGAGCAGCAGAGAACAAGCTTGCTCCATCTTCCATGGGGCAGCCCTTTAGATTTTTGAAGAGGGCTACCCTCTCAGTCCTCTCTTCTCCAGGCTAAATATACCCATCTCCCTCAACCATTCCTCACAAGGCTGGGTTCCCAGACCCTTCATCTGCCTGTCTGCCCTTCGCTTCACAATTTCCACCTTGTCAATATCCCTCTTAAAATGGGGTACCCAGAACCCAGTGAATTCAGGGTCGCCTGGAACAGAATCTTCCAGCCATTAAAAGATCTGGGTAAACAGGAAAGTTTTAAAATTCCTCTCAATGAGAGAGACAAGATACTCCTCAACTGGGAGGGCATTCCACAAATGGGGAACCAACACCAAAAAGGCCCTGTCACAAGTCTATGGCACCAAGCAGACTTCTTTCTTTTATTCCTGGAGAAGCCCAAACCCCCGCCCCCAGCCTCTCTGCTCCTGCAAAGCTACTTCGCTTAACTGAGTCCTCCTCACCCTCCGCACTTACTGTACCTCAGCCCATTACTTTCTGGTATTTATCGCTTTGCCGTTTAATAATAATAATAATAATCATAATAATAATAATAATATATTATGTATACCCCACCCATCTGGCTGGGCTTCCCCAGCCACTCTGGGCGGCTTCCAACAAAATATTAAAATACCGTAATACATCAAACATTAAAAGCTTCCCTAAACAGGGCTGCCTTCAGGTGTCTTCTAAAAGTCCGGCAGTTGTTGTTCTCTTTGACATCTGGTGGGAGGGCGTTCCACAGGGCGGGCGCCACCACCAAGAAGGCCCTTGAACTTTATTGCTATGTCTTAGTCTAACTGGGCTGTTCTGAGCCTGTAGAGTATTATCCTCACAGTGACCTTTGGTTTGCTCCCACCTTGAACTTTGAGCAACGCCAACGCCCAGGTGGAGAGTCAGGGTCACCAGGTGAGAAGGAGGCTTCTTGAGACCAGTGTGCTAAGTAACGATGGGAAGGAACAGCAGCCATGTCCCCAAGGCGTTGAGATCTGTGAAACAATGGAGGGCTTCTGTGCGTATGTGTGTTTTCTGCAACATGCCCTCGATGCAATCATGGTGTTTTAGCGGCAGAGTTATCCTGGGCCATCCACACTGCGTTTCCCTTTGGTCATCGTTCTGTGATGCTTTCCCAGTGCAAATCTTTGCTGCCATAAGGAGGGGAACTTTGCGCTATAATTCAACGTAAGAACATACCACATTCTAACTGAAAACAGATTGCAGATACTTAATTGGCTTAGGATTTTATTTAAGTGATGAATTAATAGGTTTAATTTCATAATGTGAAGATCTAAGGATGCTAATGTTCAAGTTAAATTGTTTTAAGAACTACGATTTGGAAAACCGTTAAAAGGACACGCAATGAAATCCAACCAAGGGGAAGCGAGGAAGTCACTTAATAAGGTTAATAAGGGAATTTTTAATAAGGTTATGAATTATGTTTGGTTTATGTGTTTGTTTGTTTATAATGTTGTGAAAATCAATAAAAAAAATTGAAAAAAAGAACATACCGTATTGGCCTGAATATAAGCCGCACCCACAAATAAGCTGCACTTATAAAATTCGGCGGCTTGGGGGAGGCTTTGGAGCTGTGGACGGGATGGGTACCGTTGCCCTGCGCTCCTGGCCTGTTTTCTCCGACGAAGGGAGCCGCCCCACTGTGCCAACGGCGTAAGGTCAGAAATATAAACCGCACTTTAACTTTTCACGATCGGAATTTGGGGGGAAGTAGTGTGGTTTATATTCGGGCTAATACGGTAGACTGCATTAGGACCGTCTAGTAAATCAACTTGTTCTCGCAGGGTCCAACCAGTTGCCTCAATGGGGAACCAGCAAGCACGAGAGCAACACTCTCCTGTCCCGTGACTTCCAGCAACTGGCGTTCAGAAGCCTCTGACCGTGGAGGCAGGGCATAGCCATTGTGGCTAGCGGTAGCCATCCATAGACTTGGTCCCCCATGAATTTGTCTAGTCCTCTTTGAAGGCCAACTAAGTTACTGGCCATGCCTGCGGGTGGTGCTGTGAGTTAAACCACAGAGCCTAGGACTTGCCGATCAGAAGGTTGGCGGTTCAAATCCCCGCGACGGGGTGAGCTCCCGTTGCTCGGTCCCTGCTCCTGCCAACCTAGCAGTTCTAAAGCATGTCAAAGTGCAAGTAGATAAATAGGTACCGCTCTGGCGGGAAGGTAAACGGCGTTTCCGTGCGCTGCCTCTGGTTCGCCCAGAAGCGGCTTAGTCCGTGCCTGGCCACATGACCCGGAAGCTGGTGTGGCCGGCCTGCCTCAGCCAATAAAGTGAGATGAGCGCCGCCAACCCCAGAGTCGTCCACAACTGGACCTAATGGTCAGGGATCCCTTTACCTTTACTATCAAAAAAAATTCCTTCGCAGATATAGCAATTATTTCAGACCTCCCTAAATTTATTACTGTGTGAATCTCTGGGTGTGTTATTCTGAAGAACGTCCGCAGAAACATGTCAAAAGCTCCACGTCACAAATAACAAACTTAGCCTTGGTCTTAATAAGCTATACTGGAAGGATATTTATTATATTCTCAAATTGTCAACAATGGCTCCCGGAAGACACCGCTACTATGAATCTGTCATCTAGAACTTTTTGTTGTTTAATCGTTTAGTGGTGTCCGCCTCTGTCGTGACCCCCTGGACCAGAGGCACGCCAGGGCCCTCCTGTCTTCCACTTGCCTCACGCAGTTGGGTCTAAAACTCATGCTGGTCCCTTCGAAAGAACACTGTCCCACCATCTCGTCCTCCGTCGTCCCCTTCTCCTTGCGCCCTCCATCTTTCCCAGCATCAGGGTCTTTTCCAGGGAGTCTTCTCTTCCCATGAGGCGGCCAAAGTCTTGGAGCCTCAGCTTCAGGATCTGTCCTTCCAGTGAGCACTCAGGGCTGATTTCCTTCAGAATGGATATCTAGAACTATGCAGTACTAGAAAAGGACTTTGTTTCAGCTGCCCGAGTTTTCCCACATTACTGGATGTCTGTGAGTTTTGGTGTCAGACGAAAGGGAGAAAACCTTTTGCTCTATCCATTTCCTCCATGCTGTGCATCGTTTTGTGAGCAACGATCGCGTTGCCTCTTACCTGGCTGTTCTCTAAACTAAACAGCCCCAAAGGCTTTCTTCATAGCAGCAGTCACTGCATCCCCCTCCATCATTTTGGTTGCCGTTTTCTAAACCCTTTCCCCAGCTCTACCCCATCCTATATAAGGCAAAGCTATATAAGGCGGGATGCGGGTGGCGCTGTGGGTTAAACCACAGAGCCTAGGACTTGCCGATCAGAAGGTCGGTGGTTCGAATCCCCGCAATGACGGGGTGAGCTCCCGTTGCTCGGTCCCTGCTCCTGCCAACCTAGCGGTTCGAAAGCACGTCAAAGTGCAAGTAGATAAATAGGTACCGCTCCAGCGGGAAGGTAAACGGCGTTTCCGTGCGCTGCTCTGGTTCGCCAGAAGCGGCTTAGTCCTGCTGGCCACATGACCCGGAAGCTGTGCGCCGGCTCCCTCAGCCAATAAAGTGAGATGAGCGCCGCAACCCCAGAGTCGGCCACGACTGGACCTAACGGTCAGGGGTCCCTTTACCTTTACCTTAAAAGAACGGCATGCAGGATATCAGCAATTTTATTTTCAGTTCCTCCCCTAATTATCCCTGGTGTGTAATTCTCCTTTTCCGCAGCTGCAGCCCGCTGGGTCGACATTCATGCTGCTTTTGAGGAAGGGTCCTGAGAAGCATTTAAGGCTTATGGGGTTATTACCCTTTTAACTCCTTGTTCCTCTGTTTCAGGGCAAATCAGTTCCCTGGGGCTGAGCTACCACCAAAGCCTTTCGCAGCAAAATGTAAGTGACGACAACTGCTTCCCTCTCTCATATAACACCCTCTCTCATATAACTCTCATATAAAGCTCAGGCATGTCCAAAGTCCGTTTCGGGGGCCTAATCTGGCCCCTGTGGCAGTTTATTTCCTGGGGTAAAATACTAAGAAAAAACCTCAGCAACTTCAACCCTAAAAAAAGGTCAACAACTTTGAAATACAGTGGTACCTCGGGTTAAGTACTTACGGTAATTCGTTCCGGAGGTCCGTACTTAACCTGAAACTGTTCTTAACCTGAAGCACCACTTTAGCTAATGCGGTCTCCCGCTGCTGCTGCTGCACTGCCACCATGCGATTTCTGTTCTCACCTTGAAGCAAAGTTCTTAACCCAAGGTACTATTTCTGGGTTAGCGGAGTCTGTAACCTGAAGCGTATGTAACCTGAAGCGTATGTAACCCGAGGTACCACTGTATACTTGGAGTCGAGTGTGGATTTCATGCTCTTTATTCAGCTCATAGTAGTGAGGAATGGAAGTTCCCCCAAAATGTCTGCTTTATATACATTATTTAGACAATGGGCCCCATGTGATTGGCTAGTTCCGGGATTATCCTGTAGGCCAATCAGGTTGCAGATCCACTTACACCTGGAGTTGGATTGGGCGGCTCCTGCGGACCAATCATTCTGGATCTTATTGTTCTAGGACCAATCAGACTGCTGCATTCTGAATCCTATTGTTCTAGGACCAATCAGACTGCTGCAGTTTGGATCCTATTCCTACATAACAAACTTCAATCCTAAAAAAAAGGTCAACAACTTTGGTCGGCCCCCACGGCCCTTCACTCCCTTCACTTCATCAAATATGGCCCTCTTTGAAAAAAGTTTGGACCCCGCTAGCTGCAAATGAGGACTTTTCTGGGCGAAGTTGCCAACGGCGTTAGCATTTTGGGAATCTCTTAGGTAATCAGCGCCATGTTGATTTATCCTTTGGGATGGGATCCAGTAAGGCTGGGAATCCCCACGCAGGCAATGCACGTGGCCCACGCTCCGCCAAACTGTTCTTGAGCGCGTGCAGAGCGTCCCCATCGCTTGCATTCCCCCTGCCGACGCCATTCCCCACCCCGGACCTCCGGGACAGACAGCCTGCGCGCTGCCAAAATGCAGAAGGTGTTGAACCTTCGCAACCGCCGAGTTGGAAGGGATCCCCCCAAAGGCCATCTAGTCCAGCCCCTCACAGCGCAGGAGTCGTGCAGAAGTCTGGCCTTGGTTCCTGTGCGGATCCTGCAGCTGCTGCCGCCCCTTATGCTTGCCTCCTCTCTTTCCACTCAGCCGCCCTCGCCAGCTGCGACTTCGATGACGCCGGCAACCCGTTCTGTGACTGGACCCAGCCTAAGGATGACAGCGGGGACTGGATTCGAGGAGAGGGGAAGAAGCCCGGGGAAAGCCCTGGACCGCCAGGAGGGGTCCCCGAACGGAGTACGTTATAAGAATTTAATAATAATAATAATAATAATAATAATAATAATAATAATAAAAATAATTTTTATTTATACCCCACCCTCCCCGGCCAGAGCCGGGCTCAGGGCAGCTGACACCAATAAAATCACAATAAAAACATAATGGGGGGGGACCAATTTAAAATACAGGTTAAAATGCAATTTAAAATGCAGCCTCATTTTAAAAGTAGCCCATAGATTAAAACCATAAGGGGAGGGAAACATAACGGTCAGACCGAGTCCAAACCAAAGGCCAGGCGGAACAGCTCTGTCTTGCAGGTCCTGTGGAAAGATGTCCAGTCCCGCAGGGCCCTAGTCTCTTGGGACAGAGAGTTCCACCAAGTCGGGGCCAGGGCTGAAAAGGCCCTGGCCCTAGTTGAGAGCAATCTAACCACCTTGCGACTTGGGACCTTCCAAAATGTTGTCATTTCTGGACCTTAAGGTCCTCCGTGGGGCGTACCAGGAGAGGCGGTCCCGTAGGTACATGAGTCCTAGTACAGGAGAACAATCCCGAAGCCATTTTGACTCTCCCAAATTGACCTCAACTATTTCTCTGCAAGGAGGAAGGAAATGGGGAAAGCTTTCCAATGGTCTTTGGGGCTTAACACCTCCCTTTTTCAAATACAGCCTGGCAAGTATCTGTTAAGCTGAGCACACTATCAATATCAGGAACTAAGTAATTACCATCTCCAAGGAATGGCCAGGCTACCCAGAAAAGGCAATTGATAAGGCATGATCAGGTATCCTGGCAGACAGCAGAGAAGCAACACACCCAAATTTCTGCCGGGGACCACTGCTTTCTGCGATGTATGTATGATGTTTTGGGGGGTGGTCTTGAGCTACAGGGGAGGCAGTTTCAAAAGTCTATATAAGAGCTTGCACACCAATGTTCTGGGTTCCTCTCCCCCCTCCCTGTGTGGGGTGAGTGGGGAACCCTATAGCAACAGTTCAATAAAGATCAGGCTTACTAGCCACTTTGCTTCTCAATATTCTCTGGTTGGCCTCTGTTATTTTCTCCTACCAATAGGGAAGCTATATAAGGACTCTATACGGGCTCTTGGGTACCCCATAAGGGACAAAGGAGCAGTTTTTTTTCTTATAGCAGAGTAATAATAATAATATTTTTTTATTTATACCCCGCCCTTCCCGGTTCAGGAAACCGGGCTCAGGGTGGCTAACAACAAATTTAAAACACTTAATTGATGCTATAAAAAAGCATAAAATACGATATAAAGCGTACATAACAATAAAATCAAGAATCAATTTAGGGGGAAATCCATCCAATAAACATTAGATGATCACCAGGGCTAGCTGGCTAAATTAGTCCTATTTGGGCCAGTGAGGAGGCCAGGGGAGAATTAGCTGTGGAACCCCAGAGCAGGCAATCTTCACAAAAAGGGGAGGGGGGGAGAAGGAAGGGGAATAAAAGATCAGGCCAGGTTCAAATTGAAAGCCAGGCGGAATAGCTCTGTCTTACAGGCCCTGCGGAAGGAGGTTAAATCCTGCAGGGCCCTGGTCTCCTGGGACAGAGCATTCCACCAGGTCGGAGCCACCACTGAGAAGGCCCTGCCCTGGTGGAGGATATCTTTCCAAAGCCCCCTGCTCCAGAGGAAGGCCTGGCCTGCTTTGAGGCTGGAGGCTGCAGAACCGTCCCCAGTAGAAGGATAAAATCTGAATCCCACTTGCTTCAAACCACAGGAGGGGAGAGGGGCTCTTGTGTTCGAATCCTGCCTGCGGGTTTCCCTATTTAGGCATCTGTGAGAACAGGACGCTGGACTAGAGGGGTGAAATCAGGCTCTTCTCATGTTCTTAGGAAATCGTATCAGGGAGTGTGGAGGGAGTGGAGAGAGGTTTTCCTCCTTTCGTAACCCCAGAACTCAGGATCAATAAAATGGAAGGTTCAGGGCAGAGATGACGAAATCTTCCTTCCAGCAATGTATGATTAAGATCTTAAGGAAATAAGGAGGGTGCTACTGGATCGGGACCAAAGTCCATCAAGTCCAACATGAGGTTATGAGAATTTTAAGGTCTTAGATAAGTAATAAATGTTCATAAATGTACCAAGCAAACATGCACATAAATATATAAACCACATGTCTGAAACAGAAACAGAAAAAAAGTCCTGAACAAATTGACCTCAAATATTTCTCTGCACGGTCAAAGTGGGAAACCTTCCCATTGTCTCTTTCCTCACAAATCCTGTCTTAAGGGCACATTTAAGATATGAATAGGGTGTGAGGCTGTGACCTGGCCCAGGAACTAAGTATTTGTCCTTACAAAAGACTGACCAGGCTCCCCAGGCAATCCAATCAAGTGAGCATTAACAGGTAACCTGCCAGACAGGAGGAAAACAACTCAGATTGTTTTGTTGTAGACTGCACTCAGATTTCTGTTGTAGACCGCCTCTTCTGTGATGTAGGTATGATGTTTCTGGGAGTTGGGTTCGGGTCCTCCTCCTCCTCCTGTGTGTGAGGGGAGCACCCTGTTGCAACAGTTCAATAAAGATCAGGCTTACGAGCTGCTTTGCTTCTCAATATTCTTTAGTTGGCCTCTGTTATTTTCTTTGACCAATGGAGAACCTGCAAAGGACTCTATAAGGGCTCGTGTGTCCCCCATAAGGGAATAAGGCCAGATTTCTGTTTATTACACTCGCAGACAGGACCTGAGGGTAACGCGGCACTCTATGAGTCCTGGAAGTTGGTCCTCAGAGATATACAGCCTCTGATACAGAGCATCGTGGCTTATAGACATTGAGAGCCTTCTCCTCCCCCACCAATTTGTCTAATCCTCTTTTAATCTAGATAGGTGGCCACCCCTGCCTCCTGCCAGGCAATTTCCATAGTTTAACTTTGCACCGTACTTTATTCTATCTGTATCGAACAGTTAATGGTTAATGGAGGCCTGTTTATAACATCTATATGGTTTTTATTGTCCAGTTTTATGTTTTTATTGCTCTGAACAGCGTCTCCACCCCCATCCTTCTGCCTGGACATTGAGGTCCAGCTCCGAGGGCCTTCTGGCAGTTCCCTCCCTGCGAGAAGCCAAGTTACAGGGAACCAGGCAGAGGGCCTTCTCGGTGGTGGCGCCCTCCCTGTGGAATGCCCGCCCTGTGGAATAATAATTTATTATTTATACTCCACCCATCTGGCTGGGTTTCCCCAGCCACTCTGGGCGGCGTCCAACAGAATATTAAAATACAATAGTCTATTAAACATTAAAAGCTTCCCTAAACAGGGCTGCCTTCAGCTGTCTTCTAAAAGCCTGGTAGTTGTTTTTCTCTTTGACATCTGGTGGGAGGGCGTTCCACAGGGCGGGCGCCACCACCGAGAAGGCCTGTTGGATCTGTTTCCTACTCATTTGAATCCGCCGGTTCGGATCCTGCCCTCCAGAGCAGGTAAATGCACACCATGCTGTCCCCGCATGAAACGAGCGACTTCTCGTCCCGTTCCAGGAGGCCATTACATCTACCCGGAGGAAGGAGCATCAGTGCTGTTGCAGAGCCCGGATCTGGACCCGGCCGCGCCAGAGACCTGCCTCGAGTTCCTCTACTACCTGTACAGCCTAGACAGCAAGGGCCAGCTGGCAGTGAAAGTTCAATATCCTTCGGGGAACTCCTCCACCCTGTGGACACGGAGAGGGATGGAGAGTTCGTCTTGGCTGCTGGGCGCTGTGACTATCCAGAATCCATCGCAACGCCCCTTCAAGGTAAGCGGTGTCGCTGCTTCCGAGGAGACGTTTCAGTGTGGGTGGTGTAGAGCGCTGGGCCGAGACCTGGGAAACCAGGGTTTGAATCCTCCCACTCAGCCATTAAGCTCACTTGAAATGGAAAAGGGCAATTTAATGAAGAAATAAACGATTTAGGCTCCTCGCAGGGTTCTCCCATATTTGCAATTCTAAAAATGGAAGGTGGGTTTTTCCTCTCTCTCCCATTTTTACTCCCTATCTCCTATTCCAGTTCCTTGCAAAGCCTTTTCAGCACCTGCTGAAAACATATTTTTTTCTTATTTAGGCAAGTCTAAAAACTCTATTCCATTTAACCACAACCGGTTTTTAAAATAATATTTGGAATATCTCAAATGGTTGATTTTTTAACTGTTCTTCCTGATAATTTTATGGCTTTCTGTAAACCGCTTTGTTTGTTTCCCACGAGCAAACGTTGTGTACATTTTATGATATAAAATAAACATAATAAAAGAATAAATTCCCGTTAGCAATAAAAGAGCACCGACCCAATGTAGTGGAGCAGACCTTGCCAAGTTTACCTTAGGATGCGGAAGAGCTGAGCTCGGTGTAAACGTCCGTTGTAGGAACCTCATTGGTTTCTTGAAAATCTTGTTTTATTTATTTTTAAACGTGCACTCCATGGCCAATTTTCTTGCAGCTCAGCTCAGGCACAGGCGGAGAAACTGAGCAGGTGCCGTGAGCTCGGATTTGTGGTTGCAGCTCAGCTCTTGCAAAGCTTCTGCTAACTGGAATAATAATAAATAATAATAATAATAATAGTAATTATTATTATTATTATTATTATTATTATTATTATTTATACCCCGCCCATCTGGCTGGGTTTCCCCAGCCACTCTGGGCGGCTTCCAACAAAACACTAAAATACAATAACCTATTAAACATTAAAAGCTTCCCTAAACAGGGCTGCCTTTAGATGTCTTCTAAAAGTTTGGTAGTTATTTTTCTCTTTAATCTGGTGGGAGGGAGTTCCACAAGGTGGGTGCCACTACTGAGAAGGCCCTCTGCCTGGTTCCCTGTAACCTCACTTCTCGCAGCGAGGGAACCGCCAGAAGGCCCTTGGAGCTGGACCTCAGTGGGCAGTCCGCGGGCAGGGAGGGTCTCAGCCTGCGTCCCAGATGGAGCTGATAAACAGCTGCCCTGGACACTGATTTGACCTGCGCCTCCATGGACAGCTGTGAGTCCAGAACGACTCCCAGGCTGCGCACCTGGTCCTTCAGGGGCACAGTTGCCCCATTCAAGACCAGGGAGTCCTCCACACCTGCCCGCCTCCTGTCCCCCCAAAACAGTCCTTCTGTCTTGTCAGGATTCGACCTCAATCCGTTAGCCACCATCCATCCTCCAACTGCCTCCAGACACTCACACAGGACCTTCACCGCCTTCACTGGTTCTGATTTAAAAGAGAAGTAGAGCTGGGTGTCATCCGCATACTGATGAACACCCAGCCCAAACCCCTGATGATCTCTCCCAGCGGCTGCATGTAGATGTTAAAAAGCATGGGGGAGAGGATGGAACCCTGAGGCACCCCACAAGTGAGAGCCCAGTGGTCTGAACACTCATCCCCCAACACCACTTTCTGAACACGGCCCAGGAGGAAGGAGCGGAACCACTGTATGACAGTGCCCCCAGCTCCCAGCCCCCCAAGACGGTCCAGAAGGATGTCATGGTCCAAGGTGTCAAAAGCCGCTGAGAGGTCCAGCAGAAGGGTGAATTGCTCCTTTCGCCCCCAGGGAGCTCCGCCGATCCCCACGCCGGTTCCCAAGGGCCCTCACGGAGCCTCGCTTTGTCGTGCAAACTACTGCTTTGAGAAAATGCACACGAACCATAGAATTATGGACTTGGAAAGGGACCCTCAAGGGTCATCTAGTCCAACCCCCTTCAGTGCAGGGCTCACAGCTACAGAATCCTTGATCCCACCTCTGCTCAAAAGCCCCCAGGGAATGGCAGTCCACCACCTTCCAGGGGAACCCAGTTCCACTTTTCATTCTCTCTCTCTGCCCACACAGGTTGTTTTCGCTGCCACCCAGGTCAAGACCGAAGAAATCACCATCGCTCTGGACAGCATCTCCGTCAGGATTGGGCCTTGTGCACGTAAGCGCCCCTGTTCTAGGCCTCCTCCCCTCGGGAAGAATATGGGCTTTTTGCTGTTATTATTGCGGCAAGCGGGTGCTGGTTCCTGAGGTTGCCAGACTATCCCTGCCCCTGGCTGTCTTGCAAGAGTGGCACATGCTCTGGTTATCTCCCGCTTGGACTACTGCCGTGCACTCTACGTGGGGCTACCTTTGAAGGTGACCCGGAAATTACAGTTAATCCAGAACGCGGCAGCCAGACTGGGGACTGGGAGCGGCAGCCAAAACCACATTACACCGGTCTTGAAAGACCTACATTGGCTCCCAGTACGTTTCCGAGCACAATTCAAAGTGTTGGTGCTGACCTTGAAAGCCCTAAACGGCCTCAAAAGCCCAGTACAGTGGTACCTCAGGTTACATACACTTCAGGTTACAGACTCGGCTAACCCAGAAATAGTGCTTCAGGTTAAGAACTTTGCTTCAGGATGAGAACAGAAATTGGGCTCCAGTGGTGCGGCAGCAGCAGGAGGCCCCATTAGCTAAAGTGGTGCTTCAGGTTAAGAAGAGTTTCAGGTTAAGTACGGACCTCTGGAACGACTTAAGTACCTACTTAATCTGAGGTACCACTGTAGACCTGAAGGAGCGTCTCCACCCCCATCGTTGAGCCCGGACACTGAGGTCCAGCTCCGAGGGCCTTCTGGCGGTTCCCTCCCTGCAAGAAGCCAAGTTACAGGGAACCAGGCAGAGGGCCTTCTCGGTGGTGGCGCCCGCCCTGTGGAACACCCTCCCACCAGATGTCAAGGAAATAAACAACTGTCTAACTTATAAAAGACCTCTGAAGGCAGCTCCGTTTAGGGAAGCTTTTAATGTTTGACATTTTATTGTGTTTTTTAATTAATTTTCCTAATTAATTAATTTTTTAATACTGTGTTGGGAGCTGTCCAGAGCAGCAGGGGATATATATGGATGGGGTATTATTATTATTATTATTAATAATAATAATAATAATAATAATAATAATTTATACCCCGCCCATCTGGCTGAGTTTCCCCAGCCACTCCGGGCGGCTCCCAATTGAATGTTAAAAACAATATAGCATTAAATATTAAAAACTTATTATTATTGTCAGGGTAGGACTCCAAAGGCCGAGGTTCGAGGACTCTTGCACCCAAATGAGCAGGAGGCACCCCAAGAACAACAGGACCAGTCCACTGCCATCCTCTTTGCCCTCTAAACCTCCCCTACCCCACAAGATCACTTAAGCCCTTCCTTGGTAGAAGATACCAAGAACTGGAAGAGTCTCTGGCCATCATGCAGACAGACCCCTCCAAACCTAAAACATTATCCTTCCGTGAAGTCTTCTCTTTACATCCCGTTTGGCTGCCTACCTATCAAAGCAGACACTATAATTCCCACTGTGAGAGAGACTTTTCGTCTTCTTCCTCTGCTGCAGCCTGTGTGACCGGGTGCGATTTTGACGACGACGGCGACCTCTGCCAATGGGAGAATCCGGCCGACGGAGATGTCCAGTGGGAGCAGTGGGTTGGGGCTGGGGACCTGCCCGGAGTGGGGCCAGAGGACGACTTCTCGAAACCCGGCTGTGAGTCCTGAACCCGTCAGAGCGTCCAAAGAGCCTTTAGCAGGATCAGGCCAAATCATCATTATTATTAATCATAATTTGTCATCGCCACCACTGCCTCTTAACCTCAACTACCTCGCAGGGTTCTTGTGAGGATCAAAATGAGGAGGTGGGGAGAGCCACGTACGCCACCTTGAGCTCCTGGGAGGAAAAGGCGGGATGTAAATTATGGGATTGTAGGGACCCCCCACGGTCATCTAGTCCAACCCCCTGCAATGCAGGAGTCGCAGCTAAATAAATGCGATGAATAAATAAATATTTATTCACCTTACCATAAGACGCACCTAGTTTTTAGAGGAGGAAAACCAGAAAAAAAAATCTGAACGAAACAGTGGATGTATGTTTGTTGTGGTTAATGCTATGTGATTTGACGGTGACATGATATGTGATTTGACGGTGAGTTTGGGGTAGCCCAATGCAAAAATCCTGAGGATTCATTTGGATCCGTGCTTTGTAATCATGTTTTTGCACAATTCCGGCCCCACGAAACAGTGGATGCGTGATTTTTTGGGTGCAGGCTGTAGCCATGGACATGCTATGTGATCTGATGGTGAATTTGGGGTGACCCAATGCAAAAATCCTGAGGATCCATGTGGATCCGTGCTTTGTAACCACATTTCCCCACCATTGTGGCCCCACGCAACAGTGGGTGCGTGATTTTTTGGGTGCAGGCTGTAGCCATGGACATGCTATGTGATCTGATGGTGAATTTGGGGTAACCCAATGCAAAAATCCTGAAGATACATGTGCTTTTATCTCCCCCCTCCCAGGCAGCCTCCTTTATCTCTAGCGTCCCTTATCTCCCTCCTGATCGCTTGCCGATCAGCTGCTTCCTTTCAACACTCTTGTGTTGAACACTCCTTAGTGTCTTTTCCTTAGCTGGAGCAGTTTTTTGCTCCTCCTTTTCTTCTAATTTCTCTCCTCATTGCTTGTTTTAGTATTCCTGTCTCCTCTCCTTGCAAGTTTGCTGTCTTTACCTCCCTCCTCCCAGGCAGCCTCCTTTACCCGCAGCCTTATCTCCCTCCTGATCACTTACCAATCAGCGACTTTGTTTCAACACCCCCTTCCCTCTTTCTAAAAAAAAAAAAAAGCATGATCTGCTTTTCGCCCCTGGGCAATTCGGCTCCAGGGACCACGCATTCGCTCCATAAGACGCACAGACGTTTCCCCTTACTTTTTAGGAAGAAAAAAGTGCGTCTTATGGAGTGAAAAATACGGTAAATTGACAAATCGATGCAGTCCCAGATTCAGACAAGCCTCCCCAGAGGATGACTGCCTGCTTCTTCCAAACCCTTCTGGCACGTTTCTTCCCGTTGGAGCAGACACTGACTTTCTCCAAATATCGTTCTTGCAGTTGGCTTCTACATGTTGCTCAATTCTCTGGGCGGCAGCGGCACGGCCCTCCTGAAGAGCCCCCTCTACCAGTCCCTGGGATCCTGCCTCTCTCTCAGCTTCTACTATACCTTGCACGGCGTCTCCAACAACACAGGGCTGAGGGTGTACGCAGCGCAACCAGGCAAGTTTCCGGACACCCGTCGGGCCCGGGGAAAGGGTGCTGTTGGTGGCAGGAGTGGGATCCTGCCACATTCCTTCCCCTGCTTCCCAGAGCAGCCCTGGAGGAGAGCGAGGGACTGGCTAACGGAGGCGCCTGTTTCTCTTCCCATTTCCGTGCGGAACAGGGGGTGAGCTGGGGCCCGCCTTGCTGAGTCTCGCAGGGGAACATGGACCCGACTGGAAACCGGGAAGAGCCGTCTACTCAGGGACATCAGAGAACATCCAGGTAAGGAGGGTGGTTTTCTCGGCACGTAATTTAACCTGAGCATAAGACGGAGAAGCTCATGGCATTAAAACCCCAATGGACCTTGTTTTCCCATCAGTCGCAGTCGTTCTGCCCTGATACTGAGGTCCAGCTCTGAGGGCCTTCTGGTGGTTCCCTCCCTGCGAGAAGCAAAGCTACAGGGAACCAGGCAGAGGGCCTTCTCGGTAGTGGCACCCGCCCTGTGGAACGCCCTCCCAGCAGATGTCAAAGAGAAAAACAACCACCAGACTTTTAGAAGACATCTGAAGGCAGCCCTGTTTAGGGAAGCTTTTAATGTTTAATAGATTATTGCATTTTAGTGTTCTGTTGTAAGCTGCCCAGAGTGGCTGGGGAAACCCAGCCAGATGGGCGGGGTTTAAATAATAAATTATTATTATTATAACCTCTGCTTAAAAACCTCCAATGGAGGAGAGTCCATCCCCTCCCAAGGGAACAAATAAACTTGTCTGACTAGCTCAGCAACCTCCACGAGATTCTAACTCTCACTGGGCGCAGGACCCTGAGAACTGGGAGGAACTCAGGGCATCATCTAGACTGACCCCGGCAAAACACTGCGTTAAACATACTGTGGGTCAAACCAGGAAACTGTGAATGTGGCATGGAGGGGCTGGCCGTGGGCCTCTCTGGTGGTCACCCTTGGTCCTCCCTCTCCTAGTTCATCATCGAAGGCACCTATGCAGGGAAGCCTGGCGTCGCAGTGGACAGCGTGAGGATCTCGCCCTGCGAAGGTAAAATCTGCCCCGGTCATCTCCAGGCACGGAGGGCAGGCGGATGTGGGGAGGGTGAGAGTCGGGCGGGCAGGCAGAGGAGGTGAACTGGGGGTCACTCACCCCACGTGCTCCTCGCCCTCAGAGACTTTCGCCGAGTGCAACTTCAACGACGCAGCGGACCCGTTCTGCGGCTGGCTGCAGCCCAGCGACAACAAGGCGAACTGGACGTGGACAAAGGGATACACACCGACAGAAGAGACGGGGCCTCCAGGCGACTATCCTGACGGCAGTAAGGAGCCAAGGAGGGCGAGGGGTGGGCTGGGCCCAGAAAGTCCTCATCACATGCCCCACATAGAAGCCACATTGTGCTGGGCCTGGGGGTAACCCGAGCAAGGCAGTCCAGGTCCGATCCCAAATCCAAGGGTTCCACGAGGTGTCAGTCCGACAGGACACGAGGCAGGAAACCAGGCGAGGTCAGGCACAGGATCACAGGCAGGTTCTGGCAAACAGCAACATTGCTCCCACAACCTGGGGCAGGGTCCGACAGCCTTTTATCTTTGTCGGGGTAATGGCCGGTCCTGATCACCCGGCGACTCACCTCCCTGTTTCGCCCGAAGCCAAGCACTCCTCCTGCGAGTACTCAGGTCTCTCCTTCTCTCAGACCTCAGTCTCTGCAGCTCAGGAGACGTTGGTGGGTTACTAGACCCAGAGGCCGCCTCAGCCTCCCCTGACCCAACCAGTAGTGGAGTAGCTGTAAGTGATGGCCCAGTTGGAGGCAATGAGGGAATCCCCGCATCTGGCCCCTGACTCAGCCCGGCTGGTGCTTGTTGCAGGGGAACCTGTGCAGACTGGGGCTCTTCAGAATCAGGCCCCAGACCTGGTTCAGATGCTGCCTGGGGTAAAGGATCCGGTGCGGACTGAGACTCCTCTGGCTCTGAGCCCGAGTCCCAGGCCATCACACACGTCAGGGTTCAAGGGACTTCAGGCTTCTCTCCCCTCCAGCTTGCCCCAGTTGGCACATGGAATCATAGAATTGTGGAGTTGGAAGAGACCCACGAGAGTCATCTAGTCCAACGCCCGGCAATGCAGGAATCGCAACTCAAGAATTCCTGACAGGTGGCCATCCAACCTCTGCTTAAATTCCACTGCCAAACAGCTCTTACCGTCAGAAAGTTTAGCTGGGGAACGAGCTCTCTCTGTCTTCCATGTGACGCCCCTTTCGGATATTTAAAGGTGGCCGTCCTATCCCCTCTCAGTCTCCTCTTCTCAAGGCTGAACAAGCCCAGCTCCCCTATATGACTTGGTGGGTGTGGGTTTTGCCCCTGGGCTTGTTAACAGAGAAATCTGAGGGCTCCCTTGGACAAAAAACAAGGACCCCAGCCAGGAATACCAGAGCAAAACAGCAGCCAGGAGGCTTGGTCTTGATTGAAGACTGTGGCGACAGGACTCCCACCTGCCACCAGGTGGAACAAGATGGAAGCCCAGAATAAAAGAAAACCCCAAACTTTTATTAGTTGCTAATCCCCATGTTTGAAGACAGAAGTGCCTGGCGTGTTCTGGTCCATGGGGTCACGAAGAGTCGGACACGACTAAACGAATAAACAACAACAATCCCCATGTGTCCCCCCCCCAAACTACATCACTCATACATCACAGTTACATCACTAAAGGGGAGGTCTGGTGGCCATAATCTGAGCATCCTGGACCCTGCCCCATGGTTCTCCTTGCCCTCCAACAAACACCCATCAAGTGGAACAAAAGAGATCTTTACATTTCCCTGTTTCCCAGCCAAGTGAATCCCACCCTTTTGTCTTCACCTGGGTTTGTTCTTTCTGGAATGGCTACCTGTCTGGCACTCAGGTATCAGGAGGCCAGGGATGATCACTCAGGCAGAGGGGCTGCTGAGGAGCTGAGCTCACAGGTCTATATGGATTTCTGAAGTTTTCCCAGTGAGCCAGTACAGAGATCCATTGATCAGTGAATTCTTACATTTGGTATCGCGCAGCAAAGGCCCTTTGAATAGATAGGAAGAAACTGTGAGGAAGTGTTTTGTGGGGACAAATCGCAAAAGTCACAAAAGCGATGGTGCTGGTTTTGGTAGTGGGCTGCAGGTGCAGGATATCTGCTGGAGGGGCAAACCCCCCCCCCAACCTATACATAAATTCCTGCAACAGGCTCGATGGTCAAGAGAGTGATTGGGGTGGGGGGGCTGCCCCCTTGCCCCCTTCTCTTCCCCCAGAGGGCCACTACATCTACGTGGAAGCTGGTTGCACGAAGCCAGGCCAGGCCACGCGTCTGTCCAGCCGGGGCTTCTGCACGGACACCGACGCCTGCGTGGAATTCTACTTCTACATGCACGGCATTGTGGAAGTCGACACCCAGCTCCGGGTTCTGGCGCACGGGCCGTGGGGACCCAGCACCCTCCTCTGGAGCCGGACCGGGATCCAAAGCCCCGCCTGGCTCTTGGGGTCTGTGACGGTGCCCTACGGGGGACCCCAACCCAGCAAGGTGAGTGGGAGGGGAGGAAAGAGCCGGGAGGGAAGGCAGAGGGACCTGGACTCAAAAAGTTCGTTTGGCAAGATTTACCGCATTTTTCGCTCTATAAGACGCACCAGACCACAAGACGCACCTAGTTTTTGGAGGAAAACAAGAAAAAGAATAATCTGAATCTCAGAAGCCAGAACAGCAAGAGGGATCGCTGCGCAGCGAAAGCAGCAATCCCTCTTGCTGTTCTGGCTTCTGGGATAGCTGCGCAGCCTGCGTTCGCTCCATAAGATGCACGCACATTTCCCCTTACTTTTTAGGAGGGAAAAAGTGAGTCTTATAGAGCAAAAAATACGGTATATACCGCTTGATTGTGAAACAAGAAAACCTCAAAGCGGTTTAACCAAAGGAGTATAAACCCAGCTTTAACCTGACTTAACTGATATATATTGCAGATATGGACCACTTAAGAAATAAGGAATTAATAACACATTTAATAACGGCAGCTGATAACGGGTGTAGGCAGATCTTGGAGAACTTTGCAATTAATGAATAGCCATCACCAGTATGATACAGTCAGGCAAACAGACGTAATGGGAAAGTTGACACAAACTTTCATCGACCTCCTCACACCTCCCTTTTTTGTATTCTAGTTATTAATTATCTCAGCAAATCCTTTCCCTCTTTCACTATATTCTGTCCTTTGGTTGTCTTAATTTATTTTAACCTTATCTTACCATAAAAAAGCCCTAAAACTTAAAAACTTATTTGTACATAACTCCTTATAGCATTTCTACTAAAGCCAAAGAGTTTCATTCCAACATTTTCCTAACACTCATTAATTTTACAATATTTCCCTAAATGAATTTTTAGACTTTCTTCCAATCTTCATCCACCGTCTCTTCTTCCTGGTCTCGGGTTCTGTCAGTCCTTTCTATCCATTCCATCTGGTCCATCAACCTGGTGATCTTCTGTCCGAGGCTCTTAACTCTTCTCCATTGCCCTGGACTAACTCAGGACGGTCTCCACTGACCGGCAGGTGCAGCTCTCCGGGGTTTCAGAGATGGGCATCTCCCATCCTGGCCAGGAGGTGCCAACCTGGCACTCTTCTGTACGCAAAGCTCCGCCGCCGAACTACGGTCCTCTCCCTGAAGCAAAGCAGGACGCTAGTCCTCATGGTGGCGACAGGAAGAGCGGGAGTCGGATGCAGGCAAAGCCGCCTCCTGGCCCTCGACTGACCCCTTTGCTTTGGCGCAGGTCGTTTTCGAGGTGGTCCGGGGCAGCAACCCCTATATGGACGTGGCGCTGGACAACATTTCCATACGCAAGGGGGCCTGCGCAGGTGAGGCCGGGCGGGGCGGGGCGATGGGGTGGACAAGCGGCCGCCCCCAAGAACCCCCTTGCTCTTTCCGCAGAACCGTATTTGCCAGAATTCCCGGGGAAGAGGTAGGGATTGCTAAGGCGCTTTGGGAATTGTAGCGCCGGGAGGGGAACTCTCAGCATCCTTAGCGCACTACAACTCCCAGGGTTCCCTGGGGGAAGGTGGGGCTGTTCAAAGGGGGGCCATTGCGCTTTAAAGGAAGGTGGGAATGGAGCCTGCAAAAATGAGATGTGGGAGAAGCCTCAGGTATCCCCAAAATCCCATAAATACCCCACTCACTATGGACTCTGTTTTTTCTCCTCCTTGCAGAATCTGGGACTACAATTCCTCCACCGACCTCCACAGCCGCCACATCGACCACCACAGGGAGACCCGGACCCATAACAACCACCGGGGCCAGACCCACAACCACCACCAGTGGACCAAGCCCCATAACCACCACTGGGACTGGCCCCACAACTACCACCGGGGCCACAACCACAACCACCACCAGGACCAGCCCCATAACCACCACTGGGACCAGCCCCATAACCACTACCAGTGGACCAAGCCCCACAACTACCACTGGGGCCAGCCCCACAACCACTATTGGGACTGGACCCACATCTACCACCGGGGCCACAACCACCACTGGGACCAGCCCCATAACCACCAGTGGACCCAGCCCCACAACTACCACCGGGGCCAGCCCCATAACCACCACCAGTGGACCCAGCCCCACAACCACAACTGTGACTAACCCCACAACCACCAACGGGACCAGCCCCACAACCACCATTGGACCCAGCCCCACAACCACCACCGAGGCCAGCCCCACAACCACCAGTGGACCCAGACCCACAACCACCAACGGGACCAGCCCCACAACCACCAGTGGACCCAGCCCCATAACCACCAGTGGACCCAGCCCCACAACCACCAGTGGACCCAGCCCCATAACCACCAGTGGACCCAGCCCCACAACCACCAATGGGACCAGCCCCACAACCACCAGCGGACCTAGCCCCACAACTACCACTGGGCCCAGCCCCACAACCACCAATGGGACCAGCCCCACAACCACCAGTGGACCCAGCCCCACAACCACCACTGGGCCCAGCCCCACAACCACCAATGGGACCAGCCCCACAACCACCAGCGGACCCAGCCCTACAAACCACCAGTGGACCCAGCCCCACAACACCACTGGGCCCAGCCCCACAACCACCAATGGGACCAGCCCCACAACCACCAACGGACCCAGCCCCACAACCACCAGTGGACCCAGCCCCACAACCACCACTGGGCCCAGCCCCACAACCACCAATGGGACCAGCCCCACAACAACCAGCGGACCCAGCCCCACAACCACCACTGGGTCCAGCCCCACAACCACCAATGGGACCAGCCCCACAACCACCAACGGACCCAGCCCCACAACCACCAGGTGGACCCAGCCCCACAACCACCACTGGGCCCAGCCCCACAACCACCAATGGGACCAGCCCCACAACCACCAGCGGACCCAGCCCTACAACCACCAGTGGACCCAGCCCCACAACCACCACTGGGCCCAGCCCCACAACCACCAGTGGACCCAGCCCCACAACCACCAATGGGACCAGCCCCACAACCACCAGTGGACCTAGCCCTACAACCACCCAGCGGACCCAGCCCCACAACCACCACTGGGCCCAGCCCCACAACCACCAATGTGACGAGCCCCATAACCACCAGCGGACCCAGCCCCACAACCACCAACGGGACCAGCCCCACAACCACCAACGGACCCAGCCCCACAACCACCAGTGGACCCAGCCCCACCACCACCACTGGGCCCAGCCCCACAACCACCAATGGACCAGCCCCACAACCACCAGCGGACCCAGCCCTACAACCACCAGTGGACCCAGCCCCACAACCACCACTGGGCCCAGCCCCACAACCACCACTGGGCCCAGCCCCACAACCACCAATGGGACCAGCCCCCACAACCACCAGCGGACCTAGCCCCACAACTACCACTGGGCCCAGCCCCACAACCACCAATGGGCCCAGCCCCACAACCACCAGTGGACCCAGCCCCACAACCACCAATGGGACCAGCCCACAAACCACCAGTGGACCTAGCCCTACAACCACCAGCGGACCCCAGCCCCACAACCACCACTGGGCCCAGCCCCACAACCACCAATGTGACGAGCCCCATAACCACCAGCGGACCCAGCCCCACAACCACCAACGGGACCAGCCCCACAACCACCACCGGGGCCATCCCCACAACCACCATTGGACCCAGCCCCACAACCACCAGCGGGACCAGCCTCATAACCACCACCAGTGGACCTAGCCCCACAACCACAACTGTGACTAACCCCACAACCACCAACGGGACCAGCCCCACAACCACCATTGGACCCAGCCCCACAACCACCACTGGGCCAGCCCCACAACCACCACTGGGGCCAGCCCCACAACCACAACTGGGACCAGCCCCACAACCACCACCGGTGCCAGCCCCATAACCACCACCAGCGGACCCAGCCCCACAACCACCAGTGGACCCAGACCCACAACTACCACCGAGGCCAGCCCCGCAACCACCAGTGGACCCAGACCCACAACCACCAACGGGACCAGCCCCACAACCACCAGTGGACCCAGCCCCATAACCACCAGTGGACCCAGCCCCACAACCACCACCAGTGGACCCAGCCCCACAACCACCAGTGGACCCAGCCCCATAACCACCAGTGGACCCAGCCCCACAACCACCAGTGGACCCAGCCCCACAACCACCAGTGGACCCAGCCCCATAACCACCAGCGGACCCAGCCCACAACCACCAGCGGACCCAGCCCCACAACCACCAGCGGACCCAGCCCCACAACCACCAGTGGACCCAGCCCCACAACCACCAGTGGACCCAGCCCCACAACCACCAGTGGACCCAGCCCATAACCACCAGCGGACCCAGCCCCACAACCACCAGCGGACCCAGCCCCACAACCACCAGTGGACCCAGCCCCACAACCACCAGTGGACCCAGCCCCACAACCACCACTGGGCCCAGCCCCACAACCACCCCGGAACTGTGTACCTCCACCCCTTCGGTCTCCACTACTACAACAACCACGGCGAAACCCCCTGTGCCGCCTGCAGGTGAATACCTTTCGGGGCCCCCTAACTGCAGGGGGGCGGAAGGGGCCAAACAGTTACTGTGCACCAGCAGCCGCCGCCTTTGGGGTGGGGAGGCAGAGGGTGTGGGCTGCCCAGGAAAGAAGGGAGATCAAATTAGCCAGCCAGGTGCCCCATAGCGAACCCCACAATCCGGATCTGAACCCAAGACCCCACGCCTGGCATTCAGAAGCATTGCTGCCTGGCTAGTAGCCATCAATATCAAATCCTCTTTTAAAGCCATCTATGTTCGTGGCCCTCGCTCCCTCATGTGGCAGGGAGTTCCGCAGTTCATCTCTGTGCTGCGCGAAACACTTTATTCTGCCTGTCCTGAATCTTCCAACACATAGCTTGAAAAGGAGGAGGGGGTATTAGGAGAATGAGCCAGGACTCTTTACCCTCTTTACCCTGGGTTCTTTACCTTCTGTGGCGGGAAGATAAACGGCGTTTCCATGCGCTGCTCTGGTTCGCCAGAAGTGGCTTTGTCATGCTGGCCACATGACCCAGAAGCTGTGCGCCGGCTCCCTCGACCAATAAAGCGAGATGAGCGCCGCAACCCCAGAGTCGGCCACGACTGGACCTAATGGTCAGGGGTCCCTTTACCTTTAACTAACAAAATTTAAAAAAAATCCGTCCAGTAGCACCTTAGAGACCAACTAAATTTGTTATTGGTACGAACTTTCATGTGTATCTGAAGAAGCGTGCATGCACATGAAAGCTCAAACTTAGTTGGTCTCTAAGGTGCTACTGGAAGGAATTGTTTTATTTGTTTCGACTATGGCAGACCAACATGGGACGCAGGTGGCGCTGGGGTCTAAACCACAGAGCCTAGGACTTGCCAATCGGAAGGTCAGCGGTTTGAAACCGCGCGACAGGGTGAGCTCCCGTTGCTCGGTCCCAGCTCCTGCCAACCTAGCAGTTCGAAAGCACGTCAAAGTGCAAGTAGATAAATAGGTACCGCTCCGGCGGGAAGGTAAACAGTGTTTCCGTGCGCTGCTCTGGTTCGCCAGAAGCAGCTTAGTCCTGCTGTCCACATGACCCCGAAAACTGTGGACAAACACCGGCTCCCTCGACCAGTAAAGCGAGATGAGAGCCGCAACCCCAGAGTCGTCCGCCACTGGACCTAATGGTCAGGGGTCCCCTTTACCTTTACAACCTGATCATAGGATGGAGCGACTCACAGCATTTAACACCCCAATAGACCTTGCCTCCCTGTTAGGTTCCCAGGGCAGCCCTAAACTCTCTGTGTCTCCAGACAAACCCTTAGTCTTTCCAGCTGTGTCAGCCCAAAGTGGCACACACACAGCATCCATTTGCCCTGTTGCTCTCCATCCTCGGACGATATGGCCAGGTGAGGCAGGGAAAGGCCTATCCATTTGTCTCTATTACAGCAGAGCCTGCTCTTTGGACATGTAAATGAAGGTACTTCACTGGCCAGCTAAGTGGGGGACGCGGGTGGCACTGTGGGTTAAACCACAGAGCCTAGGGCTTGCCGATCAAAAGGTCGGCAGTTCGAATCCCGGGGTGAGCTCCCGTTGCTCGGTCCCTGCTCCTGCCAACCTAGCAGTGCGAAAGCACGTCAAAGTGCAAGTAGATAAATAGGTACCACTCTGGTGGGAAGTTAAACGGCGTTTCCGTGCGCTGCTCTGGTTCTCCAGAAGCGGCTTAGTCCTGCTGGCCACATGACCCGGAAGCTGTACGCCGGCTCCCTCGGCCAATAAAGCAAGATGAGCGCCGCAACCCCAGAGTCGGTCACAACTGGACCTCACGGTCAGGGGTCTGCTGCCCCCTTGTCTTGCGGGATGTGGGTGCAAAACAGGTACAGGTGGGGCTGGCCCCACTTGCAAGCTGCAAGCAAATGGATTTCAATGGGAAACCCCTTCCAGGTGGTCTCCTGGCATCACTGCGATGACATCGGGAGATTGGCATGTGGGGAGCGCTGCCCACAAGGCTTGTGGGTGTCATTGGGGTGGCGAGACCCCCTCACCCACTGGCCCCGATTCCTAACTTTCCTGCCCCACAGATCAGGAGACCTGCACCATCTCGGGAGACCCCCACTACGCCACCTACGACAGTCGCCGCTTTGACTTCATGGGCACCTGCACCTACCTGCTTTCTGCCCCCTGCAACGCCACCTCGGGCTGCCCAACTTCAGGGTGGAGGCCACAAACGAGCACCGAGGGAACAACAAGCAGGTCTCGTACGTCAAGTCCGTCAGCGTGGAGGTCTATGGGACGCGGATCGGGCTGCTCAAGGGGCGCAGAGTCACAGTGAGTCCCCTCCGCCACGTTAGGAACGTTACTGGCCACCGGATCAGGCCAAAAGGGGCTCATCCAGCCCACAGTGGCCAACCAGTTTCAGGATTCATATACAGTGGTACCTCGGGTTAAGTACTTAATTTGTTCCAGAGGTCCGTTCTTAACCTAAAACTGTTCTTAACCTGAAGCACCACTTTAGCTAATGGGGCCTCCTGCTGCCGCCGTGCCACCGCCATGCGATTTCTGTTCTTACCCTGAAGCAAAGTTCTTAACCCCGAGGTACTATTTCTGGGTTAGCGGAGTCTGTAACCTGAAGCGTATGTACCTGAAGCGTATGTAACCCGAGGTACCACTGTAACACCGGTCCTGAGAGAACTTCATTGGCTCCCAGCACGTTTCCGAGCACACTTCAAAGTGTTGGTGCTGACCTTGAAAGCCCTAAATGGCCTCAAAGGAGCGTCTCCACCTCCATCATTCTGCCTGGACGCTGAGGTCCAGCTCCAAGGGCCTCCTGGTGGTTCCATCCCTGCGAGAAGTGTTGTTGTTGCTGTTGAGTCGTTTAGTCGTGTCCGACTCTTCTTGACCCCCTGGACCAGAGCACGCCAGGCCCTCCTGTCTTCCACTGCCTCCCGCAGTTTGGTCAAACTCATGCTGGTAGCTTCGAGAACACTGTCCCACCATCTCGTCCTCCGTCGTCCCCTTCTCCTTGCGCCCTCCATCTTTCCCAACATCAGGGTCGTTTCCAAGGAGTCTTCCCTTCTCATGAGGTGCCCAAAGTCTTGGAGCCTCAGCTTCAGGATCTGTCCTTCCAGTGAGCACTCAGGGCTGATTTCCTTCCGAATGGAGAGGTTGGATCTTCTTGCAGTCCATGGGACTCTCCAGAGTCTCCTCCAGCACCAGAATTCAAAAGCATCCATTCTTTGGCGATCAGCCTTCTTGATGGTCCAGCTCTCACCCTAACCCTAACCCCCACTGCCACTTCGATGGCTCCTCTCAGCCTCTCTCTCTCTCTCCAATGCAGGTGGACGGCCAGCGTGTTACGTTGCCAGTGTCCCTGGCCACTGGACGGGTGTCCGTGCGCCTGAGCGGCACCTTCGTCCTGGTCCAGGCAGACTTCGGCCTCTGGGTGCGCTTCGACGGGAACCACCACGCGGAAGTCTCCGTCCCAGAGGTCTACTTTGGCCAGCTCTGCGGCCTCTGTGGTGAGCAGAATGGATGGGGTGGGTGGCTGGGGGGGGGAACGGACCCCCAAGATGTGAGCGGGCTCAGGGAGGGGGTTCCACAATCACAGCTGTCAACTGTTCCCTTTTCTTGCGAGGAACGTTCTTTCTGAACGATGATGGTATACTGGACCTTCAGGTATACTGGACCGAGGCCACTTAGGGCTTTCAAGGTCAGCACCAACACTTTGAATTGTGCTCGGAAACGTACTGGGAGCCAGTGTATATTTTTCAAGACTGGTGTTATGTGGTCTTGGCGGCCGCTCTCAGTCCCCAGTCTAGCTGCCGCATTCTGGATTAATTGCAGTTTCCAGGTCACCTTCAAAGGTAGCCCCACGTAGAGCGCATTGCAGTAGTCCAAGCAGGAGATAACTAGAACATGCACCACTCTGGCAAGACAGTCCACTGGCAGGGAGGGTCTCATCCTGCGTACCAGATGGAGCTGGTAAACAGCTGCCCTGGACACAGAACTGACCTGCGCCTCCATGGACAGCGGTGAGTCCAAAATGACTCCCAGGCTGCGCACCTGGTCCTTCAGGGGCACAGTTGCCCCATTCAGGACCAGGGAGTCTTCCACACCTGCCCGCCTCCTGTCCCCCCAAAACAGTACTTCTGTCTTGCCAGGATTCAACCTCAATTATAGTGTTTTAAACGCATGGTGCAAACGTTTCGTTCGAAGGGAGCTCTTCTCGTCCATTCTCCTTGTGCCCCTCACTGCGCATTTTTATTTTTCCAGGGAATTACAACGGACAACCTTCTGATGACAATCTCATGCCCGACGGCACCTCGGCCGGAAACGATGTGAACAAGCTGGGTGAGAGCTGGCAGGTCCCGGGCGCCACAGACCCAGGGTGAGTCCGCCACAGTCCGAACTAAAATCCAGGGCCACATTTTAATTTCTAGGAACTGGTTGGGGAAAGCGGGCCACAGACAAGGTGTGTGAGGGGGGCGGCCGACAAGGGAGGGTAAGAATAGATAGATCTTCTGCAATGCAAATCCAGGAAGCCCCCTCTCCTCTGATGTGCCCATTTCACAGCTGCACCAACTCAGGAGACCCAGGAGAGTGTGACAAGGACATTGAGGAGGATGCGAAGAAACCTACGAGTTGCGGGATCCTCACAGACCCTCAAGGTGAGATTTGGGTTCCCTGGTTAGCAGCGTTCCCACAGGAGAGCCAGGACTTTCGAGAGGGGTTCTTTGGGGAGGTTACAGGTAAAGATGGACAGATAAGTCAATTTCTGTTCCCTGTGTTTCTTGGTTTTGCAATCTTCGCCTCTCCTCAGCAGCTTTTGTTTAATCCTCTTGAAAATTTGCCCGCATTTCAGTGTGACTTCTTCCTGTTGTTACGAATATTAAACTTATTGTTTTCCTTTTTGGTAAGAGGGTGGTGCTGTGGGTTAAACCACTGAGCCTTGGGCTTACTGATCAGAAGGTGGGCGGTTCGAATCCCCGCGACGGGGTGAGCTCCCGTTGCTCGGTCCCTGCTCCTGCCAACCTAGCAGTTCGAAAGCACATTAAAAAGTGCAAGTAGATAAATAGGTACCACTCCAGCGGGAAGGTAAACGGTGTTTCCGTGCGCTGCTCTGGTTCGCCAGAAGCGGCTTAGTCCTGCTGGCCACATGACCTGGAAGCTGTACGCTGGCTCCCTCGGCCAGTAAAGCGAGATGAGCGCCGCAACCCCAGAGTCGGCCACGACTGGACCTAATGGTCAGGGGTCCCTTTACCTTTACCTTTAACTAGCAGATAATGTTTTGCATGCATTTTTGACCAATGTACACATTTTTCCAAGCCTTTCCCCCTCGAATGCATTTTTTAAAAAATGTTATTATATGATTATTATTTTTGGTACACTTGTTGTTTGGTTGAAGAACAGCAACACAAAATTCAGAGGATTTCAAATTTCGAGGAACAGCTGCGTTTCAGTTCATAATATTTGTTCCAAAAGCGCAAATTAGACAGCTTCCTCATTAGCATGCAGACAAAATCAAATTTCTTATTCCTCCCTGGCTGCAGGTGGTATTTCAATATTGGAATACCGAGCCAAAACTAATGAAATGGGGCAAATGGGGTTCTACAGCTGTGCTGGAATAACTAGATGCACAAACATGGGGTGGGGGCACCGGGCTTGATAGCAGTGCATGTGAAAAAGATCTAGGGATCTTGTTGTCGTTTAGTCGTGTCCGCCTCTTTGTGACCCCCTGGACCAGAGCACGCCAGGCACTCCTGTCTTCCACTGCCTCCCGCAGTTGGGTCAAACCTCCAAAATGTTGTCATTTGTGGACCTTAAGGTCCTCCGCGGGGCATGTCAGGAGAGGCAGAAGATGGAGCAAGCTTGCTTTCTGCTGCTCCAGAGGGTAGGACCCGAACTAATGGATTCAAATTGCAGGAAAGGAGATTTTGACTAAACTGTAGGAAGGACGTTCTGACGAGGAGAGAAGTTCAGCATCAAAAACAGGTATCTCTAAAGATGGCAGGGCTCTTCTTTGTTGGAGGATTTTGGATCTGCCAGGTGCAATTCCTGCATTTCAGGAGGCTGGACTAGAGGACCTTTGGAGTACCGTTCCAACCATGATTCCTGGGTCCTCTGCGAGAGAAGCACAGACTCTTGGGGACCTTACAGTAGCCCACCTGCCCCCCGGTGTGGGATCTTCGCTCATTAACTCTCCTTCCTCGCTCTAGGTCCGTTTGCCCCATGCCACAGCAAGGTCCCCCCTGACGGGGCGTTTCAGAACTGCGTGTACGATCTCTGCGGCACCGGGGAGGACACGGGCTCTCTCTGCTTCGCCCTGCAGTCCTACGCCGATAGGTGTGCCCAAGCCGGAATTCCCATCGCCTGGAGGAACAGCAGCTTCTGCCGTAATTACTTCTCTCATTTACTACTACTACTACTACTACTAATAATAATAATAATAATAATAATTTATTTACACCCCGCCCTCCCCAGCCAAGACCGGGCTCAGGGCGGCTAACAACCAATAATAAAAACAAGTTGATTAAAATACAATTTAAAAGATGAAGATACAACATTAAAACAATAAGGGAGCAATCTCTTCATAGGAGGAGAAATAATAATAATAATAATAATAATAATAATAATAATAATAATAATAATAATAATAATAATAATTTATTATTTATACCCCACCCATCTGGCTGGGCCACTCTGGGCGGCTTCCATAAAAACCAAAAATACAGTAAAATCACGTTTAAAACTTCCCTGAACAGGGCTGCCTTAAGATGTCTTCTGAATGTCAGGTAGTTGTTTATCGCTTTGACATCTGGTGGGAGGGTGTTCCACAGGGCAGGCGCCACTACCGAGAAGGCCCTCTGCCTGGTTCCCTGTAGCTTTGCTTCTCGCAATGAGGGAACTGCCAGAAGGCCCTCGGCGCTGGACCTCAGCATCCGGGCAGAATGATGGGGGTGGAGACGCTCCTTCAGGTATACTGGACCGACGCCGTTTAGGAAAGGAAAAGAAAGAGGGGGAGGGAATCAAACTGATTCCAAGCCAAAGGCCAGGCGGAACAACTCTGTCTTACAGGCCCTGCGGAAAGAGATCAGACCCCGCAGGGCCCTGGCCTCATGAGACAGGGCATTCCACCAGGCCAGAGCCATCACTGAAAAGGCCCTGGCTCTGGTTGAGGCTAATCTGACTTCCTTAGGGCCCGGGACCTCTAGGGTGTTGCTATATATGGACCTTAAGGTCCTCCGTGGGGCAGACCAGGAGAGGCGGTCCCGTAGGTACGAGGGTCCAAGGCCGTGAAGGGCTTTAAAAGTCAAAAACAGCACCTTAAATCTGACCCTGTACTCCACTGGGAGCCAGTGCAGCTGGAAAAGCACTGAGTGAATATGCTCCCATGGCAGAGACCCCGTAAGGAGCCTCGCTGCAGCATTCTGCACCCACTGGAGTTTCTGGGACAGCTTCAAGGGCAGCCCCGCGTAGAGCGAATTACAGTAGTCAAGCCATGACCACCCATAGGTTGCCTGCAAGCAGGTTCAGGAAAGCAGATCATTCATAGTTGAACTGTGGAACTCCCTGCCACAGGAGGCAGGCATGGCCACCAACTCGGATGGCTTTAAAGGAGGAATGGACCTATTCACGGAGGAGGAGAGGGCGAACAGTGGCTGCTGGCCGCAATGGCTCGACTTCCCTCCTCCGTTGGAACCAGCCATATTTCTGAATCCCAGTTGCTGGAAACTGAAGGGGAGTGTTGCGTTCCAAAAGCAAGGAAGGACTGGACTCTGACTAATAGAATACACACGAGGCTTGACCAGCAAGACTCTGGGAGGAGGTGCCAATCATAATAATCCTGTCCACCCCTTGGCCCAGGTCGTTTTATTCACAAAAGAACTTTTTACACAGTGTTCGTGAAAACCAATCATGCATACATTCAGGGGTAAATAAAACAGGACTAGAGGAATGCATTCAGCAAAACCCCAGACTTCATAAACAGGCAGGAAAGGAAGGAAGGATGGCAAGGAAATAGTATTTACCATCTCCTTGTGAACTCTCTTCCTGGCCCTTAAGATCTACCTAAAGATTAACAAACTACATCAAAGTTACCTCCTATCTTTATGGCTCAGGATGCCTGATGAAGCAACCGGCCTGTGTTTCAGAATGCTGATATGTGCCTGTCAGGCAGAGAAAATGAACAGTAGAGAAAACGTGCAGAGATGCAGAGGCTTGTGGGATTTGATCAGAAATTATTGTCAATGAATCAAACCCAGTCAACGCAATGCTTTCATCGCGGTCACAATGGCTTGCTCCATATTTCATAATTCCTCATAGCAATCCCACCTGATCACTACAGGGGAGAGGGCTCTTGAGTCCAGATTCCTGCTTGCAGGTTTCTCCTTCGGACTCTGCGTACGCGAAGGGGCCGTACGCACATCTGGTTATGGGGCCCAGTCACTGTGATCGGGTTCCCAGGCCCGGAGAAGGCAGAGTTTTTGGCTGCCGGACTGTGGCTGCCAGACTAACGGGCGTCTGGTTGGCCACTGTGAGAACTGGACCAAATGGGCCCTCTTTGGTGTGATCCTGCACGCTCTTCTCACGTTCTTATACAATGAGCTAAAATGACAGCAAATCACAAAGGCATCACAGAGCCCACCATGCTACCGTTTTCTAAATGGTGGCACCGGTGGTATCTTCTGGATAAACCTTACATGTGTCCCCGCTGCTCCTTGGGACCTTATTCGTAGCTTTTATTTATTTGTTTTTGGCCATATCGCCCAAGTGCCGGGTCGGACTTTGCTCAGATCAGCAAAGCATCATTGAAAGACTTCAAGGGCTACTGTGCCTTTGATAAAAAGCTTCTTGTTTGTAGGTTCGAACTGCTCTATTGCTTCCTGTTCGACGTGGCTGGAGTTAATGGGGAACAGGAAGCAATAGAATATGCTGGAGTTGCAAAATAAATAAATGAACTCTTGTTCTCTTTTTTTATTATTTAATAAATTTATAATTGGAAGTTTTATTTACAACATAACATAAACCCCCCACCCCCCATACAGAAATCCACCCTCATTAAACGTGAACATAACATACAATAAGGATAACATACAACAATACAAACAACCAAATAAAAGACTTCCTTTATCTTGTATCTGGCCTCCTTATTTACTTCTTATAAGCTGTTTCGTTGATGAATAATTATTAAGATTTTTCTAATTATAACTTAAATATCCACAAAGTCTCCTGCAAAACAAGTCCAGGTATGTATTTCTCAAAGGAGGACAGTATCATTGCTTTATTCAATCTATCTTTCTTTCTTTCTTTCTTTCTTTCTTTCTTTCTTTCTTTCCTTCCTTCCTTCCTTCCTTCTTCCTCCAGCCCTGAACTGCCCTCCTGGCAGCAACTACACATCTTGTGGCCCAGCGTGCCCTGCCACCTGCACGGAGCCCCCCTCCCGGAACAGCTGCAACCTGCCCTGCGTGGAGGGCTGCGTCTGCAACGAGGGCTTCGTCCTCAGCGGAGACCAGTGTGTCCCCCTTGGCCAGTGTGGCTGCACAGACCCCGGCGGCCAATACCATCCGGTGAGAAGTGGGGGGACCCAAGCGGACAGTACCTTCTGGCAAGAAGGAGGAGGACAGAGGGGTTTGCCTCCTGCAGATGACCCAATATCCCTGGGTTTTGTGAAAAGAGAGGCCTGCTCTTCCTGGCTTCCTTCATCTCATGGTGCTTTAGCGAGTGGCATAAGCAAGGCAGACAAGCATCCCTTCTCCCCAAAATACCCATTTTTGGGTCACCACCCTGTAGGGTGCAGAACCACGAGCAGTGATCCACCTGTTCCAGGGGATCCTTCATGTAACCTGCTCTAGGGTCCTGGAAGTGAAGATTCTTGGGTGCTCCTCAAGGTGGGGAAGGGCGGTGGGTGGGGTTCACAGCAGGACACCTGGGTCCTTTCCCCACTGACCCTCCCCCCTCCCTGCTCCTCAGGTTGGTGAGAGCTGGATGGGGAACAGCAACTGCACCCAGCGCTGTACCTGTGCCCCTCTCAACAACATCACCTGCGAGGAGTGGAGCTGCAGCCCCGTTCAGGAGTGTCGGCCGGTGGAGGGGCTCCTGGGTTGCCAAGACACAGGTAAGGCCCCCTTTTCTCTCCTGGCCTCCTTCCCAGAGCGTTGCGTTCCGAAGGCAAAGGAAGGATTGGACCCTGATTAATAAAATACACACAAGGCTTGGCCAGCAAGACTCTGGGAGTGCGTATAATAATAATCCTCTCCACCCCTCGGCCCAGGTCGTTTTATTCACAAAAGAACTTTTTACAGTGTCCGTAAGAACCAATCAGATTTCCTCTGAGCATTTCAAAAAAACCTACCACGTGGGAGTAAGTTAGATCAGAGAAATCCTTTTAACTACAAAGACTACTTGGAGTATGCATACATGTTCAGTCTAAATAAAACAGGAATCAAGGAGGAATGCATTTAGCAAACCCTGAAGGTCATAAACAGGCAGTGAACAGGAAAGGAAGGACAGGCAAGGAAAGATAGTATCTGTTGTTGTTGTTTAGTTGTTTAGTGGTGTCCGCCTCTTCGTGACCCCCTGGACCAGAGCACGCCAGGCACTCCTGTCTTCCACTGCCTCCCGCAGTTTGGTCAGACTCATGCCGGTAGCTTCAAGAACACTGTCCCACCATCTCGTCCTCTGCCGTCCCCTTCTCCTTGTGCCCTCCATCTTTCCCAACATCAGGGTCTTTTCCAGGGAGTCTCCTCATGAGGTGGCCAAAGTCTTGGAGCCTCAGCTTCAGGATCTGTCCTTCCAGGGAGCACTCAGGGCTGATTTCCTTCAGAATGGAGAGGTTTGATCTTCTTGCAATCCATGGGGCTCTCCAGCACCATAATTCAAAAGCATCAATTCTTCGGCGATCAGATAGTATCAGATCAGATAGGTGGGGATCAGATAGTATCTACCTAAAGATTAACAAAAGCTACATCAAAGCTACCTCCTATCTTTATGGCCCAGGATGCCTGGTGAAGCAACTGGTCTGTGTTTTAGAATGCTTATACGTGCCTGTCAGGCGTAGAGAAATTGACAGTAGAAAAAACAGGGCAGAAATGCAGAGGCTTGTGGGATTTGATCAGAAATTATCGTCAATGACTCAAACCCAGTCAAAGCAATGCTTTCATTGCTGACACAATGGCTTGCTGCATTTTTTCATAATTCCTCATAGCAATCCCACCTGACCACCACACCAGAGCCAGCTGCGTCCTCTGGACAACAGATCCCTGCAGCAAAAGCATCTTGTCCCCCAACCAGAGTATTGCACATCTGCAGATTAAAGGAGTGTAAGGGGGGCAAACCTCTCCATTCTCTCTCCCAGACCTCAGAAGAGCGCTCTGGCCGCTTGCAACGCCAATCCCAAACTCCCGGTAGCCCAAATGCCAAGCGCCCGGGCAGGTGGGGATTCCGAAACCTGGAGTTGGCAACCACATGCGCTTCAGCGGTGAAATGAAGGAACTTTATTAGGAATAAACGGTAGGAGGAAAGCAGGCAGAAGGTCAAAACAGAACGCAAAACAAACCTGAACACTGTGGCTCTAAAATGGAACCAATCTTAGCTTATATCAAGTTTACTCACCAAGTAAAACTTGGGGTCATGAAGAGTCGGACAACGACTAAACAACAACACTCACCAAGAATCAGCCAGGCTGGCCAGCTTCATAGAAAGTCTGGCTTTGAACTCTCATGTTGAGAGGGCACAACTGGATCCCTGGTGTTGGGAAGGGAACTGGATCCCCCTAGATCAGTGGTGGCGAGCCTTTTAGAGACTGAGCGCCCAAACTGCAACCCAAAACCCACTTATTTATTGCAAAGTGCCAACACGCCAATTGACACCTCCGTGTATAAGATGTCCTCTATTTTTGTTGTTGATTAGTCATTTAGTCTCCTCCAGGCACCTAATCCAAAAGCATCAATACGAAGCTTATTGGCGTTAGCTTATTAGTGTCAGACGCGACAACTTTAAGAAGCGGTACTTGCAGAAAATGAACTTGTTCTTTGTAATGTTCCACATATGCCTTTGCAAAGTATAGTCGCTCTGTTCAGGTATCAGACAAAAGAACTTAAGACAAGGATTCCTGGAATAATACCTTGTTTTGCCCTGCTGGGCTTCATCAGACATGCATACTCTAAATCAGTGTTTCCCAACCTTTGGTCTCTAGCTGTTTTTCAGACTACAATTCCCATCATCCCTGACCACTGATCTTGCTAGCTAGGGATCATGGGAGTTGTAGTCCAAAACCAGCTGGAGATCCAAGGTTGGGAAACAATGCTCTAAAAAATACAGATAAACGTAATAAGAGAAGGGGGCTGATGCCTTGTGTCCCTGACCCCCCCTCCTTTGTCCTCCAGGAGTGGCTGCCTGCCACGTGGCCGGGGACCCCCACTATTACAGTTTCGATGGCACCATGGTCTCCTTCATGGGCACTGCACCTACACCTTGGTGACGCTGTGCCACGCCGACCCCCGCCTCCCGGCCTTCAACATCACCGCCAAGAACGAGGAGCGGGGCCAGCCCGAAGCCTCCTACCTCCGCCTCGTGACCGTGGAGGTGGCCGGAGCCACAGTCACCCTGCAGAAAAGTCGGCGGGTGCTGGTAAGGGATCTTGCCCGAATGTAGGAGGGCAGAAGCAGAGGTCGTTTGCGGGGTGGGGGGTGTCTGCAAAGTTGTCTTCTTTTTATGGGGGCGGGGAGGGCTCCTGTGGAGGACGTCGAACGTCGGAAGGTTCAGGACAGGTAAAAAGAAAGTCATTCTTCACACAGGGCGTAGCTAAACTATGGAACTCCCTGCCACAGGAGGCAGTGATGACCGCAAACTAGATGGCTTTAAAAGGGGATTAAATAAATTATTGGGTGGTGGGGAGATGGGATATAAAGGTAAAGTGTAAAGGGACCCCTGACCATTAGGTCCAGTCGTGGCCGACTCTGCGGTTGCGGCGCTCATCTCGCTTTACTGGCCGAGGGAGCCGGCAAACAGCTTCCAGGTCACGTGGCCAGCAGGACTAAGCCGCTTCTGGCGAACCAGAGCAGTGCATGGGAAACGCCGTTTACCTTCCCGCTGGAGTGGTACCTATTGATCTACTTGCACTTTGACGTGCTTTTGAACTGCTAGGTTGGCAGGAGCAGGGACGCGAACGACGGGAGCTCACCCCGTTGGCGGGGATTCGAACCGCCGACCTTCTGATCGGCAAGTCCTAGGCTCTGTGGTTTAGACCCAGTGTTTCCCAACCGGTGTTCCGCGGCACACTAGTGTGCCGCCATACGTTGCCTGGTGGTGCCGCGGGGAAGATTCAAAAGATTATTATTTTTTTGTAAAAGTCAAATTAGGTCCTAATCCAGGGGTTGGCAACCCGCGGCTCCGGAGCCGCATGCGGCTCTTTTACACCTTTGCCGCGGCTCCGGAGATCCTCGGGGACCCTGAGCAGAAAAGCAGAAGCGCCAGAAAGAGGAGGGGGATGGAGCTGGGCAGCCGAGCTGGACAAAAGCAAGACGGCGGCAGCAGCGGAGCTCGAGAGGCGGCGGCTGCTGGGATGGAGGAAGGAGCAGGCGGCGCCGGAGAAGGGCTGCTGCTGCTGCTTCTGCCGCCGGAGCGAAAGTTCTGCCAGGGCGGCTTCAATGGCTCATCCCAGGTGGGGATGGGCGGCGGCGGCACGAGGGGGATGCCTCGTCTGGAGGACAGTGAGGAAGCGGGCCGAGCAGCTCACGGCGGCGCCTCTTCCCGCCGCCCACCCAGACCCACGCTCTCCTCAGCTCCGCGTGCGAGGCACCTGAGGCGAGGGAGAGAGAGCGCGCGAGCCTCGAGGGGAATGGCAGGGCGGGGTTTTTTGTGTGTGTTTGTGGGGGGGGGTGGCGGTGGTGCTTCGGGATCCTTTTCCGTGCCTTGCTTCTGAGTGGCCGCCCAGTTGAGGGAGAGCACCTGAGGAGAACACAAAATGGGCCCCCCTCCTGTCGGGGGAAGGGGTGAATTACGTTAGGGACCGAGGAGGGGGTCCAGAGGTAGCCAGCAGGAGAGGCGGGGGAGCACGAGAGCAATTGCAGAGGGAGGGGGGCTGGTTAGTGCACCAAAATCCTGGCATGCGGAATTCCCCCATTCTCTCGTGCCTATGCAATTCCCTGCCCTTCTCCCTTTCCCCCTCGAGATATTGCCTGCAGAGAAAACAAATGAAGAAGAAAAGGGCAGAGTATTAGCCTGACATGTCCCCCCGGATCCCATGGCAAAGCGCCAGGCAGATTCCTTTGGCTTACCAAGCTCTTTTTATTTTAAGTTGGCTTCAAACCTGTAATTGTGGTAGGTGTATGTATGTATACATATACGACACACATAAAATATTCATACTCTTCCCTCTCACCTTCCTTTCACCCAGTTTCTCTGGCACTGGTTTATAAATGCTGCTATGTAGAAATGGTGAGAAAGTTGCACCAGCAGAAGGAATGGATATGTGCTGTTAGTAAAAAGAGAGGGAGTTGAACTGCAGGGAGGGACAGACACTTTTCTATGTATTAATTTGTATAATGCCCTCTATGCACATGGTGCTTTGCAAAAAATGGATATGAGAGGTACCATACCCCTCTTTGCTATCTGAAATAGACTCAGGGAAAAGAGAGAGAGTGGGGGAAGGGGAAGAATGTGTGGTTATTTACATTTGGCTTGTTTTGCGGCTCCCAGTTTTGCTGCCTCCTCCCCCCCACCCCCAAAGCTTGGAGGTTCCCCGGCGCCGACCCGCAGGTTTGACCCCCTTCTCACACCTGTTCGCGCTCCTTGCACGGAATGGGGCGGATGGGGAGGAACGGGGCTCGCCGCTGCCTCCGCTCGCCCTCCCCCCCTCCGCCGGCGGTCCCGCGATTCTTGGCTTTTTGGCGGTTGGCACAGAAGGAAGGCAAGGGGGAGGGGAAAAAATTGAATCTTACACTTTCGTGCGTCCCTCCCGGCGTGACGCTGCGCGCTGACGTCACGGGGCTGTAATGGTGGTGTGCCTCAAGATTTTTTTCATGAAACAAGTGTGCCTTTGCCCAAAAAAGGTTGGGAAACACTGGTTTAGACCACAGTGCCACCCGCGTCCCTGCTTTAAAAGGTGCTTTAAAAGAGGATTAAACAAATTCTTGTGTGGTGGGGAGATGGGATATAGATGTACAGGAATGAATGAATGAATGAAGACAGCCTCGTTCCACCTGGATCTCTCGTCTCACCACAGATTGATGGCCAACGTGTCCGGACCCCCGTGGAGGGCCGCATTCCTGGCGTCTCCATCACCACCAGCGGGATCTACGTGGTCCTGGAGACCGATTTCGGGCTGGTGGTCAAGTTTGACGGAAACCATCACCTAGAGATCCAGCTGCCTGGGACTTACTTTGACAAGGTAATTTGTGACTCAGCCGCGATGGCTGCGCTCTGCTTCCGAAGGCCAGTTGCTGGAAGCCCCAGGAAGGGAGAGCTGCTCTTGCGCTCGTCTCCTGCTTGCGGGTTTCCCATAATGGGCATCTGGTTGGCCACTGTGAGAAGAGGATGCTGGACTAGAGGGGCCGTGGGCCTGATCCTGCATCCTGTTCTTGTGTTCTTACCTGCATCCCCAGTCTCAGTTTGCATTTCTTCGTCCAAAAAGTATTGATCTGATGTGTAGAGATCTATCCTGTTCTGCTTAATTCAAGAGGGTTCTGGAAGGTTTCTTCTCTGTGTGATAGAAGGTTCTTGTTTGGGTTATATACCTTCCGAGAAGCTGAGTACAGCTGGTTTAAACTGGTTCTATTATCATAGAATCATAGAATTGGAAGAGACCACAAGGGCCATCGAGTCCAACCCCCTGCCAAGCAGGAAACACCATCAGAGCACTCCTGACATATGGTTGTCAAGCCTCTGCTTAAAGACCTCCAAAGGAGGAGACTCCACCACACTCCTTGGCAGCAAATTCCACTGTTGAACAGCTCTTACTGTCAGGAAGTTCTTCCTAATGTTGAGGTGGAATCTTCTTTCTTGTAGTTTGGATCCATTGCTCCGTGTCCGCTTCTCTGGAGCAGCAGAAAACAACCTTTCTCCCTCCTCTATGTGACATCCTTTTATATATTTGAACATGGCTATCATATCACCCCTTAACCTCCTCTTCTCCAGGCTAAACATGCCCAGCTCCCTTAGCCGTTCCTCATAAGGCATCGTTTCCAGGCCTTTGACCATTTTGGTTGCCCTCCTCTGGACACGTTCCAGTTGGTCAGTGTCCTTCTTGAACTGTGGTGCCCAGAACTGGACACAGTACTCCAGGTGAGGTCTGACCAGAGCAGAATACAGTGGCACTCTTACTTCCCTTGATCTAGATGCTAGACTCCTCTTGATGCAGCCCAGAATTATCTTTCTGTCAAGGTCACTCTGACTATAATAGTCAGGCTAGAAGGAGCCTGGGTTTCACTTTCTCTTTCTGTCTCTTTTTCTTCTGGTGTGGTGTCCTATTCTGTATGTAGTGCTATGTTTTTGTCTTATTATAAGTTATAAGTTTGAAGTCTGCCGCAACTGGATTTTTTATGGACAGTGCCAATCCTCAATGTATTGTATCTGTGACCATTATGCTCCTTGCCTTCAGTAGCAGTAGCCTCTGGCCTATTTTTTGGGAATCCTGCAATGTGTTTAAGTTTTTCCTCCATATGCAGCTCATCACCTAACCCACCTATCCCTTTGACCCTCTCCTCCTCCCTGCCGCATGCCCCTTCCCCATCTGAAACCCCCTCGCCATCTTTTTTTGACCAGTTTTCCTTTGTTTATCATCCTGAGCACCTACACAAATTTTCCTCTGCACTTTAGACTTTTCCAGTCTGTTTCCAAGCACTTTTTCTTTCGGCCCAGCATTTCCCCCCGTGAAAACCCGTTCCTTAAAGCTATCAGAAACCCATGGGAAACTTGGAGGGCCTGCTTTTGTCTCCGAGTCTAAATGATTTCTGGATCCCACCCCACCTGCGCCCCGAGAGCCTCCCTGTTGGTTTTCCGTCTCCTTGCCGATTTAATGCGTCCTGCACAAAGGCCATAACAACCTCCTTCCCGTCCCCAGGTGTGTGGGATGTGCGGCAGCTTCAACAACCAGAGCAGAGACGACCTCCTGATGCCCAACGGACACTTGGCCACCAATGCCAGTCAGTTTGGAAACAGCTGGAAGGCACCGGGAGACGCTGACCCAGGGTGAGGAGGCAGGGGCGTGCGATGGCGCGGCCTAGAGCACTCTGGCCGGGGAGGGTCATAGCTGCCAACTTACAGATTTGAAAATAAGGGACCAGCAGCCTCAAAAATAAGGGACCAGCAGCCAAAATAAGGGATTTTGCGAGCATAGGCATGTTCAACTTCTGAGCCCCTCAGAAAGCCCAGCCAGCAGCCCAACGAAGCCTCAAGCGGTGGTTCCCACAGCGCAGCAACCCGGCAAAGGGGATGCAGCAAGGAAAACCACCGTCCCCTCTCCGCTGGGAAGTGCTGAGCAAAGGCGAGTCCCCAGGCAACGCGGCCGAGTTGATTGGCACAAGGCATGCAAGCTCCACCCCCCAGTCGTTCTTAGACTCCTTATTGGGTGAGCAAAGCAGCCAAGCAATCCAGTTGGAGCCTCCCTCCTCCCTGGCCAGCAGGGAGGGAAGGAGAGGAGCTGCTTCCTTTGAAACTCGGGAAATTTAAGGGACATCATCAATAAGGGACAGCAGCGGGACATGGCGCTGGGATAAGGGGCTGTCCCGCTAAATAAGGGACGGTTGACAGCTATGGGCGGGGTATAAATAAAATTTATTATTATTATTATTAACTCCCTTGGGCCCCCTTTGAGGGCCCATGTGCACAGCGAGGATTTTGAGGAGGTTGCTGCGGGCGGCAGTCGGAAAATGGCCGCTGTGACGGTGACGAAAAACAAAATGGCTGCCAAAAAGGCGACCAAGGTGATCGAGGGCCTGATAGAGAACGGTGGAGGGAGGTGGGTATCTTTAGCCTAGAGAACGGTAGGCTGAGAGGGGATAGGTTAGCCATCTCCAAAAATCTGAAGGGACGTCACACGGAAGATGGATCAAGCTTGTTTTTTCCTGCTCCAGGATGGCTTAAAAGTTACAAGAAATGCGATTTTGGCTAGACATTAGGAAGAACTTTCAGACTTCCTTGGAAGGTGGTGGTTCTCTGCTTTAAGTAGAGGTTGGGCAGCCATCTGCAAGGGATTTTTTAGCTGCAATTCCTCCATTTCAGGGGGTTGGACTAGATGACCGCCGGGGGTCCCTGCCAACAGCCCTGTGATTCTTTGACAGAAAGCTTTCCCCTACATTATCATATATGTTGTGTGATTAATGACGGGCGAGTTAAGTTCTTCCCAGACCAGTTCTTTCCCCATCCCATCAGTCAGAGGGTCAAACTAGGACCTGGGAGGGAGCAGGGTTCGAATCTCCCCATGGCCACTACGAAGCTCCCTGGAGGACCTTGGGAGCCAGTCACCCTCAGCCTTACCCACCTTGCAGGGTCGTTGTGAGAATAAAATGGGGAAAACCCCTAAGCTCCTTGGGGGAGAATAGGTAGGGTTCAAATTCTTTAGTTGGCATTCCTGCATTGCTGGGGGGGTTGGTCTAGATGGCCCTTGGGGGTCCCTTCCAACCCTACGGTTCTGTTAGATGTAAAATGAACAAACAACACCCTCACTCCCTCCTTCTGCCCCCAGCTGCCAGCCAGATGACCGCGAGGACCTGGAGCCCCCCTGCTCGGCCCAAGAGATGGAGCGCCTTCGCGGCCAGTGCCGTGAGATCCTGGGGCCCAAGTACCAGCCCTGCCACGCCACCATCGACCCCCAGCCCTTCTTCCAGAACTGCCTGTACGACATGTGCGAGTACCAGGGCATGGCCTCCGTGCTCTGCGACAACATCCAGTCCTACGTGGAGGCCTGCAAGAGCCAAGGCGTGGATAACATCTCGTGGAGGAACAGCACCTTCTGCCGTGAGTCAAAGGCCCCCCCAAAGTAGCTCACACTGAGAGTCAGGAGTTCGGCCTACACTCGAGTAGGACCCCTGGCAGAGACACATGCCCAACTGGCATGTTCCTTCCCTCCTGGTTGATCATTTGGGAGCTTCATAAGCTTTCTTCAGAGTTTGCGCAGTTCTTGCATGACAGACCTCAGCAACTCAGCATTTTGGCTAGGTAAAGGTAAAGGGACCCCTGCCCATTAGGTCCAGTCGTGGCCGACTCTGGGGTTGCAGCGCTCATCTCGCTTTACTGGCTGAGGGAGCCGGCGTACAGCTTCTGGGTCATGTGGCCAGCATGACTAAGCCGCTTCTGGCGAACCAGAGCAGTGCACGGAAACGCCGTTTACCTTCCCGCCGGAGCGGTACCTATTTATCTACTTGCACTTTGACGTGCTTTTGAACTGCTAGGTTGGCAGGAGCAGGGACCGCGCAATGGGAGCTCACCCCGTCGTGGGGATTCGAACCGCCGACCTTCTGATCGGCAAGTCCTAGGCTCTGTGGTTTAACCCACAGCGCCACCTGCGTCCCTAGCATTTTGGCTAATCTACTTATTTACATCTAAACACACACGGAGCACTGCGACATGGCTCCCTCTCTCTCTAGCAGCATCAGACGGCAAAGAGAAAAAGAACAAAGGACAATAGTCCCACTTCACAGAACACAGGAACACAAACATCCTGTCTCCTGGAGTCAAAACATATACCGTCCTGTGATAGACAACGATCCCATGACTGCAATCATGGAGCAGGAATTCTAACAGTGAGGAGACCTCCCTCCAGAGGCTTGCAAGCTCCGGGCCGTTTGACGACCTGCTAAAGGGGTTCCTCACGGAGAACCCTCACTGCCAAGCCGGAAGCAATTGCAGAAGCAGAACCTAAAAACAGGAATCTTTTAATTAAAATGGCAGGGGGCCTTTTTCGCTGTTCGGGATCAACTTTTAATTACTATTGTAGATCCTGGGCACTGGTGGATGGTCTAGTACTATTAACGGCCACATCCCCATAGAACATTTAAAGCACTATTAATACACTTTTAACAGTCATGGGAGACCCAAGGAAATGTAGAAATAACCCAGGCATTTGGGGGCTGAAGGATATTGTGCCTGGTACCCCTGAGATCACTGGATGAAACAATGTTTTTAATTCAATCAATCAAATTGTTGAGGGCACTGGGAATTGTAGCTTGGTGAAGTCAGCGCTCCTGATAAAATATAGTTCGCAGGGGGGTTTCTTTGAAGGGAGGGGTATACATTCAATCAATAAATCAATAAAACTTTTTTTGTTGAGGGTGTGGGGAATTGTAGCTCAGTGAGCTCAGCGCCTCTGAAAAAATATAGTTTCCAGGGTGTGTTTTTTTTGGAGGGAGGGGTATACATTCAATCAATAAATGTATAAACGCTTTTTTTGTTGAGGGTGCTGGGAATTGTAGCTCAGTGAGCTCAGCGCCCTGAACAAACTACAGTTCCCAGGGTTCTCTGGGAGGAAAGCTGCAGTATAAGAGTGCTCTCAACGTAAGGAGCAGGTGCCATAGCAAACCGCTGCTTTTTTATGCTCCCAGCTGATTGCGGGGGAAAGCAACCTATTAGCACCTAAAAGAGCCATGCTATATGTTCTTCCTTTGCTGCTGTAGGTAGAAAATACCTCTATTCCTAACCTCCGCTGTCTCCTCTTCCCCGCCTCCCCCTTCTTCCCCCTGCAGCCCTGCCCTGCCCGGCTCACAGCCACTACACCGAGTGCTCCTCTCCCTGCCCGGCCACCTGCTCCAACCTCTACGCCCCAGCCAGCTGCCAGCGCCCCACGACCTGCGTGGAGGGGTGCGCCTGCGACAGGGGCTACGTGCTGAGCGACGACAGCTGTGTCTTGATGCGGGACTGCGGGTGCCTGAGCACCCAGAACGAGTACTACAACGTAAGTGGAAGGGGACTCCCAGCACGATCGCAGCAGCAGGCTGGCAGTCAAAGAACTGTAAGAGTTGCAACGCAGGAATCTTTTGCCCAGCGTGAGACTCGAAACAGGACCCTAAGATTTAGAGTCTGGGGCTGATGGGAATAGTAGTGCGGAACATGTGGCTTGGTTGCCGTCGGGCTGATGCTCCTAAGAGAAGCCGGACGAAGAAGTCCAGATCAGTGGCGTAGCGTGGGGGGTGCCAGGGGTGCCAGCCGCACCGGGCGCAACATCTGGGGGGGCGCGAGTCCAGAGGGAAGGGACAAGTTCCTTCCTCCGCCGGGCTCCCCACCGCCACCGCCAGCCTTGCGCCCTAGCGCGCGCGCGCCCCCCGCCGCCGCCACTGCGGCTGCGCTCCACTCACTGCTCGCAGGAGGAGCAGCCGCTGCAGCAGCGCCAACGCCGCCACCGACGCCTGGCCGGGCACGGGCAGCCTCCGCACCCCGCCGACGCCGCCATCCCCTCGGGCCAGCCACAGGCGGCGGTTGCTTCTGCCGACTGGGAGGGAGGAGAGCTCCAAGGGGCCTCGGCGCGCCCTGCGCTCCCCAAAACCCTCCAAGAGGAAGCCGGCGGGCGGGCGAGGGTCTCCCGGCGGAAGGGGGCGCCGCTGGCTCCGGCTCTCAGCGCAAGTCTCAGCCGCGGGGGGGGGGGGCGGCGAGGACGGAGCGCGGCTGGAAGCCCCCGGACCCGGCCGGGAGGAGGAGAGGCGCTCGCCAAGCCCGGATCTGGAGCTCCACCTACAGCCCAAGGAGAGGAGGGGGCGGGGAGGCGCCCGAGGGGAGGGGGCTTCGGCTGCCTCGGCCCGCGGGGGCTCTGCAAATAATAAAATTAATAAATTCCTGCTGAGCCTTTGGGGGGGGTCCTTGGCTCCTTCGCTCGCCCCCAGCCCCAGTGGCGTAGCGTGGGGGGGTGCAGGGGGGCCCGGCCGCAACATCTGGGGGGGGGGCGCGCTCGCATTCAAGTGCTAAAATCCATGGGTTAGGGGGCGCAAATTACTTGCCTTGCCCCGGGTGCTGAAAACCCACGCTACGCCACTGGTCCAGATAACGAAGAAGTCCAGATAACGAAGAAGCTGCCACTCTCACAATAGCTTCTGCGGATCATTTATTAAACGTGATGTTTTGAGGTCAAGCCTCTGTTGGGCGATGGGAGAAACATGACCTACTGAAATATACTTGGAGTCAAGAGTGGATTTCATGCTCTTTATTCAGCTCATAGTGGTGAGGAGGAATAGAAGTTCCCCCAGAATGTCTGCTTTATATACATTATTTACACAATGGGCCGCACATGATTGGCTAGTTCCGGGATTCTCCTGTAGGCCAATCAGGTTGCGGATTCACTTCCACCTGGAGCTGGATTGGGTGGCTCCTGTGGACTAATCAGACTGCTGCATTCTGGGTCCTATTGTTCTAGGACCAATCAGACTGCTGCATTTTGGATCCTATTGCTCTAGGGCCAATCAGACTGCTTCATTCTGAATCCTATAGTTCTAGGACCAATCAGACTGCTGCATTCTGAATCCTATTGTTCTGGGACCAATCAGACTGCTGCATTTTGGATACTATTCAACTCATTACATAACACCTGCCTTGCAGAGTTTGGGACGGGTCTTGACGCAGCCCCCTAACTGCCTCCCCTCTGCCTTTGCAGCCCGGAGAAACCTGGGTGACGGCCAATTGCCTTGAACGCTGCACCTGCGTCGGGAACGGGAAGATCACCTGCCAGTCCTTCCGGTGCCTGGATGGGTCCGTGTGCGCCCTCAGCACCGCGGGGCTTCACTACTGCCGCCCAACCAGTGAGTGGGAACCGGGGGCAGCGGGGGGGGCTGAGATGGCAGAGAGGAGGGGAACTGGGAGAGCAGTCAGTCCAGGGTCAGTCGGTCCAGCCGTTGGGAACGGAAGTAGTTCTCCAGCTGCCTAGTCTGGACTACCGCAACGCACTCTACTCTGGGGCTGCCCTTGGAGACGACCGTATTTTTCGCTCCATAAGACGCACCTGACCATAAGACACACGAATTAGAGGAGGAAAACAAGGAAAAAAATATTCTGAACAAAACAGTGGATGTATGATTTTTGTGGTTCATGCTGTGGCCACAGACATGTGATCGGATGGTGAATTTGGGGTGACCCAATGTAAAAATCCTGAGGATCCATGGGCTTTTACCTCCCCCCTCCCAGGCAGCCTCCTTTATCGCTAGCATCCCTTATCTCCTCCTTAAGCTCCTCCGTGGGACATACCAGGAGAGGCGGTCCCGTAGGTACGAGGGTCCTAGGCCACATAGGGTTTTAAAGGTCAAAACCAGCACCTTAAACCTGACCCTGTACTCCACTGGGAGCCAGTGCAGCTGGAAAAACACTGGATGAATGTGATCCTGCGGCAAGGACCCCGTGAGGAGTCTCGCCACGGCATTCTGCACCCGCTGATCATTCATTCACCCCACACATTTCAAGTAGTTCTCCCCATCACTTTCCAAGCAGTACAACATATAAAAGGATGTCACATAGAGGAGGGAGAAAGGTTGTTTTCTGCTGCTCCAGAGAAGCGGACACGGAGCAATGGATCCAAACTACAAGAAAGAAGATTCCACCTCAACATTAGGAAGAACTTCCTGACAGTAAGAGCTGTTTGACAGTGGAATTTGCTGCCAAGGAGTGTGGTGGAGTCTCCTCCTTTGGAGGTCTTTAAGCAGAGGCTTGACAACCATATGTCAGGAGTGCTCTGATGGTGTTTCCTGCTTGGCAGGGGGTTGGACTCGATGGCCCTTGTGGTCTCTTCCAACTCTATGATTCTATGATTCTATGATTCTATGAACATCCGTGTTTCTCTTTTCGGTGGCGATGCTGCGTGAGGGCGTTTATTGTGTGTTAATTGTGCAGACCTAAAGCCTAATTTAAAAGGGACGCGGGTGGCGCTGTGGGTAAAAGCCTCAGCGCCTAGGACTTGCCGATCGAAAGGTCGGCGGTTCGAATCCCCGCGGCGGGGTGCGCTCCCGTTGCTCGGTCCCAGCGCCTGCCAACCTAGCAGTTCGAAAGCACCTCCGGGTGCAAGTAGATAAATAGGGACCGCTTACTAGCGGGAAGGTAAACAGCGTTTCCGTGTGCGGCTCTGGCTCGCCAGAGCAGCGATGTCACGCTGGCCATGTGACCCGGAAGTGTCTCTGGACAGCACTGGCTCCCGGCCTATAGAGTGAGATGAGCGCACAACCCCAGAGTCTGGCAAGACTGGCCCGTACGGGCAGGGGTACCTTTACCTTTACCTTTAAAGCCTAATTTGGCACTGGTGGTGGTGCTGAGAAAGATGCCGTGTTGCCAAGAACAGGGAGAATCCAAAGGTGCCCAGAGGTTGGCAGAGATGGTGGGGAAATCTCCCCTGCAATGGGGGCCTTGTCAAAAAGGGCTGTGATTCCAGAAGGAATGGCTGCTTCCGAGAACTTCATGGCCTTATTACGGAGGGAGAAAACTGTATTGGTCAGGAATTGAAAATCCTGCCGATATTCACCCAGAAAGGTTGTCAGTGATATGGGCTTCAGGTTTTTGAGAAAAAGTACAGGTGGGTCTGATGGGAATGTCAGTCCAAGATACCTGGATGGTACCAGTTTAGGGCTCATTCATATATAATAAAATATGGTTTATGTTTAGGGATATCAGTTGGTCGTATTAAATTCATTTTTGCATTCCACCACCCCCAATTATCATTTTGAAGGAGCGTCTCCACCCCCATCATCCAGCCCAGACACTAAGGTCCAGCTCCGAGGGCCTTCTGGCGGTTCCCTCCCTGCGAGAAGCCAAGTTACAGGGAGCCAGGCAGAGGGCCTTCTCGGTGGTGGCGCCCGCCCTGTGGAACACCCTCCCACCAGATGTCAAAGAGATAAACAATTACCAGACTTTTAGAAGACATCTGAAGGCAGCCCTGTTTAGGGAAGCTTTTAATGTTTGATGCATTACTGTATTTTAAAATTGTGTTGGAAGCCGCCCAGAGTGGCTGGGGAAACCCAGCCAGATGGGCGGGGTATAAATAATAATAAATTATTATTATTATTATTATTATTTGAAAAATAGCAATGCAAAGGCTTGGCCTCGAGACACAGTAAGGACGTTTCCTCTGAGCATGTGCAGAATGCTCACCCACAACTTTTTAGTTTCCTAACTTGGCTCTCCTTCTTCCCAGGATTCCACCAGTGTGTGATTTCCGGAGACCCCCACTACAACACTTTCGACAACTTCGTCCACCACTTCCAGGGGCGCTCCACTTACACCTTGACCAGGACCCTGGCTGACCTTCCGGAGTCTCTCGAACCCCTCTCCGTGGCGGGCAGGAACCGCCGCCGCTTCCCTTTCCAAAGCTTCTCCTTCCTGCGCGAGGTCTACGTCGAGGTGTACGGCTACAGCATCCAGTTGTTGCAGGGGAGGAAGATGGCGGTGAGAGCCAAAGACGACGTGGAAAACCCTGCGAGGCTTTTGGGGGGGGGGTCCCCTCCTGCAGATCACTTGCCCCCTGAGCAAACGAGGACCCTCGTTTCCACCTCCTCCTGCTCTTAAACACGGATGCCGTATGAGGATTCGTGAAGCCGAACGTTGGAACATTCTGTACAGATAAAAGGAAGTCCATCTTTCCGCAGTGCAGAGTTTAACTGTGGAACTCCCTGCCACTGGAGCCACTAACTTAGATGGCTTTAAAAGAGGATCAGACAGATTTCTGGAGGAGAAGGGCCACTGTGGGGACAGGATGCTGGCTAGGAGCCACTGATAGCCCTCTCCTCCTCCATGGATTTGCCCAGCCCTATTTTGAAACCATATGTGTTAGTGGCAATGGGACGCGGGTGGCGCTGTGGGTTAAACCACAGAGCCTAGGGTTTGCCGATTGGAAGGTCGGCGGTTTGAATCCCCGCGACGGGGTGAGCTCCCATTGCTCGGTCCCTGCTCCTGCCAACCTAGCAGTTCAAAAGCACCTCAAAGTGCAAGTAGATAAATAGGTACCACTCCATTGGGAAGTAAACGGCGTTTCCATGCGCTGCTCTGGTTCGCCATAAGTGACTTAGTCATGCTGGCCACATGACCCAGAAGCTGTACACCGGCTCCCTCAGCCAATAAAGCGAGATGAGCGCCGCAACCCCAGAGTCGGCCACAACTGGACCTAATGGTCAGGGGTCCCTTTACCTTGACCTTTATGTTGGTGGCAGGGAGTTCCGTAGTTTAACTATCTGTCCTAAATCGTCCAACATGCGGCTTAATGGGATGCCCACAAGTTATAGTGCAGGGGTCAGCAAACTTTTTCAGCAGGGGGCCGGTCCACTGTCCCTCAGACCTTGTGGGGGGCTGGACTATATTTTGAAAAGTAATAATGAACAAATTCCTATGGCCCACAAATAACCCAGGGATGCATTTTAAATAAAAGGGCACATTCTACTCATGTAAAAACACACTGATTCCCAGACTGTTTGCAGGCCGGATTTAGAAGGCGATTGGGCCGGATCCGGCCCCCAGGCCTGAGTTTGCCTACCCATGTTCTCGTGTTATGAGAGAGGGAGGGGAAAAAACAGCTTCATCTGGTTTCTGTGCGGACCATTTTTATGAACTTCTATCATGTGGCCTCTTGGCTGCCTTTTCTCTAAACGAAGCAGTCTCAAACGCTGCAAGGTTTTTCTTCGGTCCATCCTCTTGATCCTTGTTGATTGCCCGTTCGTTTTTGTGGAGTTTTATTTTTTTATTAACATTCTTATGTTACATCGGTAAACATTATATTACATCACAAGGCTTATTATAATTTTCAGCATGTATACAAAGTTTATGTAGCTAAAGAAAAGAAACAAGGACAAAAAATTATTCCAAAATCATATATATATACCAACACATTGGACTTCCTGTCTATCCCGTTGTATATTCCCTTTTTACAAATGAACGTACTCTTATTATTGTATATTTCTTTATATTTTGTCTAGTACATTCCTATATCAATATGTACCCTTGGTATTATTTCTCAACTCAGTCTCTCAGTCAATCGAATGCTAGCATAGATAGCGAACAGTTACTATATTTTCCAACATACCTGTATTTTTCGCTCTACAAGACGCACCAGACCACAAGACGCACCTAGTTTTTGGAGGAGGAAAACAAGAAAAAAAATATTCTGAATCCCAGAAGCCAGAACAGCAAGAGGGGTCGCTGCGCAGTGAAAGCAGCAATCCCTTTTGCTGTTCTGGCTTCTGGGATAGCTGCGCAGCCTGCATTCGCTCCATAAGACGCACACACATTTCCCCTTACTTTTTAGGAGGGGAAAAGCGAGTCTTACAGAGCAAAAAATACGGTATATCTTATATCTATCCCGCTTTTCAACATACTCTGGCTTCTCCTCAGATCGTATAAATCTTTCGCCTTTTCGATTGCCCTTTCCAGGTAAATGGCGTGATGGTCACCACTCCGTACTCGCCCCGGGACGGGCTCCAGATCACCCAGAGAGGCCGCACCATCTGCGTGGAAACGGATTTTGGGCTCTCCGTTTACTTCGACGGCCAAGATTTTGGTGGTGAGGATAAATGAGCACAAGGGGAGAAGGGGCTGCATCCTCCCTCCTGTAAGGTAATGGGGCTCGCTCAGGAACATCAGGATCAGGCTGGGCCAGAAGCCAAAAAACTTAGCCTCGCGCCGACACTGGCAGGCAGCATCTCTTTTCTTTCCACTTTTTTTTATTGGTTTTCACACTATTATAAACAAACAAACACATAAGAGAAACAAACATAAATCATAGCCTTATTAAAAATGACACTTATTAACATTGTTAAGTGACTTCCTCGCATCCCCTTGGTTGAATTTCATTGCATTTGGTTTTCCAAATCACAGTTCTTATAAAATTTAACTTAAACATTAACATCCTTAAATCTTCACATTATGAAATTAAACATATTAATTCATCACTTAATATAAATAAAGTCCTAAGCCAATTAAGTATCTGCAAGCTGTTTTCAGTTAATTTAACTAAATAATCCTTAAATTTAATCCACTCTTCCTGGTACTCCTCCTCCTTCTGGTCGCGGACTCTTCCGGTCAGGTCGGCCAGCTCCGAAAAATCCATCATCTTCATCTCCCATTCTTCTATCGTTGGTAATTCTTGGGCTTTCCCCTATTTTATCTAACAAAATACGAGCAGCAGTTGTGGCATACAAAAATAATTTAACATCTTTCTTGGGCAATTCCAAACCTGTTATTCCAAGAAGAATGGCCTCTGGTTTCTTTATAAATGTATATTTCAACATTTTTTTCAATTCATTATAGTGGCAGGCAGCATCTCAGAGTGGGTTTAAGGGCAGGGGTGCTGATTCACCCAGCTCAGGCAAAACTGTTCAACTGGCAAACTATTTCGTTAAAATAGTTAAAAACCATAGAATTCTAGAGTTGGAAGGGACCCCCAAGGGCCATCTAGTCTAACCCCCTGCAATGCAGGAATCAAATGAATACAGCCGTACCTTGGATCCCGAACGCCCTGGAACTCGGACGTTTTGGCTCCCAAACACTGGAAACCTGGTTTGCGAACGTTCCTTTGGAACCCGAACGTCCGACGGGGCTTCCGTGGCATTTGATTGGCTGCAGGAACTTCCTGCAGCCAATCAGAACCCGCAATTTGGTTTTTGTACGTTTTGGAAGTCGAACGGACTTCCGGAACGGATTCCGTCCGACTTCCAAGGTATGGCTGCCCATAAATGGCTGCACATTGAAGTTGTAGAAGAGGTGTTGGGTACAGAAAAGGCTTTCAAAATCTGAATATGTGTATGAAAGAACCTAAGAAAGGGAAACGATTGAAGGACAGATGTAAAGGCGAGCAAGATAACTAAGAGATGTGCAGTGAATGTGGTGGAAGTCTTTTATAATATTTTAACTAGGATATTGTAATGATTGAAGCATGACTTTGGTAATATTGGTTATGAAAAGTATTTTTCTTCTTCTTTTCTTTTTTTAGTTTGCATTTTGGAAAACATGTATATAAATGTGTTTACAGTGTTACGTGCTGTTCTTTGGTTCTCTTTCTTTTTCTCTTCTTGTAAAATTCGATAAAGAAAAAAATTACCGTATTTTTTGCTCTATAAGACTCACTTTTTCCCTCCTAAAAATTAAGGGGCGTCTTATAGAGCGAATGCAGGCTGCACAGCTATCCCAGAAGCCCGAACAGCAAGAGGGATTGCTGCTTTCACTGCGCAGCGATCCCTCTTGCTGTTCTGGCTTCTGAGATTCAGAATATTTTTTTTCTTGTTTTCCTCCTCCAAAAACTAGGTGCGTCTTGTGGTCTGGTGCGTCTTATAGAGCGAAAAATACGGTGCAAAATCTGAATATGCGGAAGGCTCAAAGATTGTCCCCACCCCAACTGGTCTAGGGCTCCCCCCATGTGGGCACTACGTTCACCCCTCTTTCTCTCCACCCCACACAGAGATCGTCCTCCCCAGCACCTATCGGACCTATGTGGGAGGGCTCTGCGGGAATTACGACGGGCAGCGGAACAACGAGTACATGAAACCCGACAGAACGTGGACCCGGAGCCTCAACACCTTTGGGAACAGCTGGGAGGTCATGGTCCCCAGCAGAGAAAGGGAGGCTGGCAGCCATCCTCGCATCAGGTCAGAGCTCGCGGCACCTCCTGTCCCTCATAGAATCCTAGAGTTGGACTAGACCACAAGGGCCATGGAGTCCAACCCCCTGCCAAGCAGGAAACACCATCAGAGCACTCCTGACATATGGTTGTCAAGCCTCTGCTTAAAGACCTCCAAAGAAGGAGACTCCACCACACTCCTTGGCAGCAAATTCCACTGTCGAACAGCTCTTACTGTCAGGAAGTTCTTCCGAATGTTTAGGTGGAATCTTCTTTCTTGTAGTTTGGATCCATTGCTCCGTGTCCGCTTCTCTGGAGCAGCAGAAAACAACCTTTCTCCCTCCTCTATGTGACATCCTTTTATATATTTGAACATGGCTATCATATCACCCCTTAACCTCCTCTTCTCCAGGCTAAACATGCCCAGCTCCCTTAGCCGTTCCTCATAAGGCATCGTTTCCAGGCCTTTGACCATTTTGGTTGCCCTCCTCTGGACACGTTCCAGTTGGTCAGTGTCCTTGAACTGTGGTGCCCAGAACTGGACACAGTACTCCAGGTGAGGTCTGACCAGAGCAGAATACAGTGGCACTATTACTTCCCTTGATCTAGATGCTATACTCCTATTGATGCAGCCCAGAATTGCATTGGCTTTTTTAGCTGCCGCGTCACACTGTTGGCTCATGTCAAGTTTGTGGTCAACCAAGACTCCTAGATCCTTTTCACATGTACTGCTCTCAAGCCAGGTGTCACCCATCTTGTATTTGTGCCTCTCATTTTTTCATGCATGGCTTCTCCCTCATTCAGCAGTTACGTAATCTCCAAACAAGAAGCAGAGAGCTGGGTCTCAAACTCCCTAGAGAACCAGACCTTGCTGTTAGCAGACAGGGACCAGGGCTGTGATAACACTAAAAGGTAAAGGGACCCCCGACCATTAGGTCCAGTCGTGGCCGACTCTGGGGTTCAGAGGCCTCCATCCCCAGCCAGCTGCTCATAGCTCCCCACCCTCCCCTCGCTGTGGGGCCAGCACACCTCATCCCACACACGCCACCCCTTTCTGGGCAAGGGAAATGGCGCTGAATTGTGTCCAGAACACCAAATAAAAATTAATAAATGAATGCAAATAAAAGCCTTCCTCTCCTGCACAGTATCTCTCCTTTAGCGTTTCATTCCGGTGATGCAGAGGGAAGAGGCTATTGCTTTTCTAGGCTGCATCAGCAGAAATCTGGTCGGACCCCACCTGGAGTCCTGCGCCCAGTTCTGAGCACCTCTGTTTCAGAAGGATATTGACAAGTTGGTTTGTGTGCAGAGGAGGGCGGCCAAGATGAAGAAGGGCCTGGAAAATGCCTTGTGAGGAATAGCAGAGGGAGCTGGGTATCTTTAGCCTGGAAAAGAGGAGACTGAGAGGTGATAGGAGGGTAAAGGTAAAGGGACCCCTGACCATTAGGTCCAGTCGTAGCCGACTCTGGGGTTGCGGCACTCATCCCGCTTTATTGGCCAAGGGTGCCGGGGTACAGCTTCCGGGTCATGTGGCCAGCAGGACTAAGCCTCTTCTGATGAACCAGAGCAACGCACAGAAATGCCGTTTACCTTCCTGCCGGAGTGGTACCTATTTATCTACTTGCACTTTGACGTGCTTTCGAACTGCTAGGTTGGCAGGAGCAGGGACCGAGCAACAGGAGCTCACCCAGTCGCGGGGATTCGAACCGCCAACCTTCTGATCAGCAAGTCCTAGGCTCTGTGGTTTAGACCACAGCGCCACCCGCGTCCCATCTGATAACTCTATGCTGAGCAAAACAGAGTGAAAACAGTAGCCCTATGCGGCCTAGGACCCACGTACCCACGGGACCGCCTTTCCTGGTATGCCCCGCGGAGATGTCCACAAATAACAACATTTTGGAGGTCCCCAGTCGCAAGGTGGTTAGATTGGTCTCAACTAGGGCCAGGGCCTTTTCAGTACTGGCCCCGACTTGGTGGAACGCTCTGTCACAAGAGACCAGGGCCCTGCGGGACTTGACATCTTTCCGCAGGGTCTGCAAGACAGAGCTGTTCCGTGTGGCCTTTGGTTTGGACTCAGTCTGACCCTTCTGTTTCCCTCCCCTTATGGTCTTGATCTATCGGCTACTTTTAAAATGAGGCTGCATTTTAAATTGCATTTTAACCTGTATTTTAAATTGGTTTTCTTTTCCCCCTCTCTTTTTCCCTTATTCTGTTTTTACTGTGCTTTTATTGGTGTTAGCCGCCCTGAGCCTGGCTTTGGCCGGGGAGGGCGGGGTATAAACGAAATAATTATTATTATTATTATTATTATTATTATTATTATTATTATTATTAATTTGAGATCATTTTGAGAACAGGATGTTGGGTCATATGGGAGTTTAGATGCACTAAAAGGGGCCCCTTTGGCCTGATCCTGCAGCTCTTCTTATGTTCTGAGGAGAAAGGAACAGGGAGGATTTCTCTTTCTCAGCTCAGACCTTGTACACAGCAGGGAGACATCCAGCCAAACATACAGAGGGGAAAAACTCCTTTTCTTCTTCTTCCCCCCACAAAGGCATGAGGAACCATCAGACGAAGTCGAGTCCGGCTTTGAAATCGCCTGCAGCCCAGAGCAGCTGATATCTGTCAACGGGACGGGCGTCTGTGGGGCCCTCTCTGACCCCCAGGGGCCGTTCTCAGCCTGCCACAGCGTCCTGTCGCCCAGCCCTTTCCAAGAGTGAGTGTGCCCAGAACGGAGACATGGGCGGGCGGCTAGGAAGGGAGCGCGTCTGTGTGCAAGCTGACGCAGGCGCGCATTTGTGCGCAAGAGAGCCCATCTCCTTCATTCTCTCTCCACACCCCAGGAACTGTGTGTACGACCTCTGCGCTCTCATGGGCGACACTGAGCTCTTATGCCAAGATTACGATGCCTATGCCAAGCTCTGCCAGGAGGAGGGGGTCACGCTGGGAGCCTGGAGGCAGAAGATGGGCTGCGGTAAGAGAATCCCCCATCCAAAAAAACCCCTATCTCACACCCTTCCTTGCCCAGCTGCAACACAACAGCCATGCCATGCTGCTAGCTGGTCTTGCTCTGTCGTAGCTGCTGCCACCACCCTTCTGCACCCCCAATAGGAGGGGACTTTTTAAAAGGCCATTTCCGTAGCACCCCCAGTCCAGCCTGCAGCCTAGCACTCCACACTCTCCCTGAGTCTCTCCCAGACTTCAGAAGAGCGCTCTGGTCGCTTGAAACGCCAATCTAAACTCCTGGTAGCCTGAATGCCAAGCGCCTGGGCAGGTGGGGATTCCAAAACCCTGAGGTTGGCTGGCAAGCAACACTTCAGTAGTCAAATGAAGGAACTTTACTAGGAATAAAAGGTAGGGGGAAAGCTCTAAAACGGAACCAACCCGTAATATTTCATTTGGTTTTTTTGGATGAATCTGGTTTATAGATAACAACGAAGACACGTTTTTGTTGTACAGATGTAATTATGGACAATAAAACATGGGATTTTTAAAAAATAAAATAAAATAAATAAAGCTGAGCCCTGTGGCTCTAAAATGGAACCAGTCCTAGCCTATCCACAACCCTCGTCGTTCAAGTTTACTCCCCAAGAATCTGCAAGGCTGGCCAGTTTCACAAAAGATCCCAGCTTGGATCCCCAGCACTGGAAGGAGAACCGGATCCCCTGATGTTGGGGGGCAGACAAGGCGCAAGAAGCATCTCAGCTTTTTAAAGGGTCTACCAGGACACTGAGATCCAGCTCCGAGGGCCTTCTGGCGGTTCCCTCACTCCAAGAAGCCAAGTTACAGGGAACCAGGCAGAGGGCCTTCTCGGTGGTGGCACCCGCCCTCCCAACATATGTCAAAGAGAACAACAACTACCAGACTTTTAGAAGACATCTGAAGGCAGCCCTGTCTAGGGAAGCTTTTAATCTTTGATGCATTACTGTATTTTAATATTTTGTTGAAAGCCGCCCAGAGAGGCTGGGGAAGCACATCCAGATGGGCGGGGTATAAATAATAATAAAAAATTATTATTATTTCCTCTCCTCGTGAGAGGGATGCGCAACAGCCTCCCTTAGGGCCTGAGCTGTCCTCCATTTCTGCTCCTTCACAACCCCTTACCCCTCGGCCGAGGGCCCCGTGTCCAGAGCATGGGGCCACATCCAGGGCCCACACCCCAGAGGGTAGGGCCCAGACCAGTGGGTTCAAATGACTCCGACTGAGTCCGTTTCCCTTCTCTTATCGCCAGAAAGTACGTCCTCAGGTTTGTCTGGAATCCCCTTTCTTGTCATTTGATTCCGATAGAGGCTTTTCTTCTTTTAAACGTTCTACCACCCACCCATCTTGTCCCCACAGAGATCTCGTGCCCGCCTCACACCACCTACAAATCTTGCATGACCGCCTGTCCCGACAGCTGTGCCAACATGGCTGCCCAATCGGAGTGCGATGCCCCTTGCGTGGAGGGCTGCGCCAGCGACCCCGGCTACGTCCTCAGCGGGCTGGACAGCGTCCCCTACAACCAGTGCGGCTGCACTGACAACAACCAGTATTACCAGGTAGGCGGGGAGGAATAGGGAGGAACCCCCTGGCTGCTGCCGGTCAGTTGGGTCGTTCTGAATCCTGGAAACCGCCGGAGGAGAGCAGGGTGCAACAGATCAGCCGCTGTGACTCTGGTTAAGGGATAGACTCAACCCTGGGTGTACCTAGAGCAGGGGTCGGCAAACTTTTACAGCAGGGGGCCAGTCCACTGTCCCTCAGACCTTGTGGGGGGCCACTGTATTTTGAAAAAAAAAATGAACAAATTCCTATGCCCCACAAATGCATTTTAAATAAAAGCACACATTCTACTCATGTGAGAACACCAGGCAGGCCCCACAAATAACCCAGAGTTGCATTTTAAATAAAAGGACACATTCTGCTCATGTAAAAGCACGCTGATTCCTGGAACATCTGCGGGCTGTATTTAGAAGGCAATTGAGCCGGATCCGGCCCCCGGGCCTTCGTTTGCCTACCCATGACCTAGAGGTTGGCTAGGATGGGCGCAGGGCCTCAAAAATCACAGCTCTCCACTCTGGCTCAGAGGGGCTAGGAGCCTGCCTGCCTGCCCACTCTCCTGGCTGCTCCTCCAGCGCTCTGGACGGCGGCTGGGCGAGGTGTGCAGGCTTCTCTGGGCACCTTGGCAGAGGAATCTGGTTGGTGGTGTGTGGCCGCAAAGATGGAGGGAAGAAAGATGGAGAGAGCTGATGAAAGTTAAAGGGAGGGAGGGAGGGAGGGAGGAGGCAGCGAGCAGAGGGAGGGAGGAAATCACTGGCCGAGTAGCAAAGACAATGATGCTTCTCATGAGTTTCTGGTCCATGGTCCCTTCCGGTTTTGGCGGTGCCAATACAAAGGTGGGCAGCAGCTTTCCCAGAGTGGCACTGATATTCTTCCCCACGCCCCGGTTTCTCCCCAGATCAACGACACTTTCTTCACGGAGGACTGCTCCAAAAGATGCACCTGCCGCAATACGGGGACTCTGGAGTGTGAGCCTGTGGCCTGCGCCAAGGGGGATGCCTGCGCCGTGGTAAACTTCACCCGCGGATGCTACAGAGGTGAGAAAGGCTTGGTTAGGGACGAGGTGGGAGGAGAGAGTTGAGCCAGCAATGTGATGCAGCAGCAAAAAAGGCTAATGCTGTTCTAGGCTGCATCCACAGAAGTCTAGTGTCCAGATCAAGGGCAGTCTTAGTCCCACTCTATTCTGCCTTGGTCAGACCCCACCTGGAGTCCTGTGTCCAGTTCTGGGCACCACAATTTAAGGAGGATATTGACAAACTGGAAGGTGGGCAGAGAAGGACAACCAGGATGACGAAGGGCCTGGAAACTGAGCCTTATGAGGAATGGTTGAGGGCATTGGGTACATTTAGCCTGGAGGAGACTGAGAGGGGACATGATTTCCCCTCTGAAGGGCTGCCAGATATTTATCAGAAAATCGTAAGAGTTGGACACCCAATACAACCCCCCGCAACCCGGATAGATAGATAGCTATAGATGATAGATAGATAGATAGATAGATAGATAGATAGATTGATAGATAGATAGATGATATATAGATATCTTTATTGTCATTGTCCCGTACAGAACAATGAAATTGAAAAACTACATAAAACATTCAAAAAACCCTAAAACCTCTGAAACCCCATTTTGAAATACACTATACAGTGGTGCCTCGCAAGACGAAATTAATCCGTTCCGCAAGTCTCTTCGTTTAGCAGTTTTTTCGTCTTGCGAAGCAACCCTATTAGCGGATTAGCGCTATTAGTGGTTTAGCGGCTATTAAAGGCTTAGCGGCTATTAAAGGCTTAGCGAATTAGCGGCTAAAAGGCTATTAGCGGCTTAGCGGCTTAGAAAAAGGGGGGGAAAGCGGGGGGAAATCGGAACACTCGCAAGACGTTTTCGTCTTGCAAAGCAAACCCATAGGGAAAATCGTCTTGCGAAGCAGCTCAAAAACGGAAAACCCTTTCGTCTAGCGGGTTTTCCGTCTCGCGAGGCATTCGTCTTGCGGGGCACCACTGTACTATAAAATACACTATACTATAAAATACACTATACGGATTTAATCCAAACGGATTAAAACACACATCAACATTCTGCATACTCTGTTTGGCCAGCCCAAATGAGCACGTTTTCAGCAGGCGCCGAAAAAGGGTGCAGCGAAGGAGCCTGACTGATCAGTCAATTGGCGGGGAGTTCCAAAGGCTGGGTGCTGCTGCCGCCCTGAAAGATTGATTTATGCCCGGGTGTTGTGTGGCGCCTGCGGCAGTGCCATCGCCCTTAAAACCAAAGTTGCCGGCTGATGTGGAAAAGGGGAGACCTGAAAGAGTAGGAAAGTGACAGAATCTGGAAACAGAACACTTTCCCCATCTCTCGGTGGACTGACGGTGTCTCTCCCCTCCCCAAAAACACACGTTTCTTCCTTTGCAGAGAGCGCCTGCCTCCGTAACAATTGCCAGAACGAGGGAGTGTGTCAGGACACCTTAGACGGCGCCCTCGGCTACGTCTGTGTTTGCACGGAGGGCTACAATGGAACCTACTGCGAGACTGCCTACGATGTACAGCCCCCATCCCCCTCGACAGGTAACAAGTCCCTGCCGCTGTTGTTGTTTAGTCCTTTAGTCGTGTCCGCCTCTTCGTGACCCCCTGGACCAGAGCACGCCAGGCCCTTCCTGTCTTCCACTGCCTCCCGCAGTTTGGTCAGACTCATGCTGGTCGCTTCGAGAACACTGTCCCACCATCTCGTCCTCCGCCGTCCCCTTCTCCTTGTGCCCTCCATCTTTCCCAACATCAGGGTCTTTCCCAGGGAGTCTTCTCTTCTCGTGAGGTAGCCAGTCTTGGAGCCTCAGCTTCAGGATCTGTCCTTCCAGTGAGCACCCAGGGCTGATTTCCTTCAGAATGGAGAGGTTTGATCTTCTTGCAGTCCATGGGACTCTCAAGAGTCTCCTCCAGCACCAGAATTCAAAAGCATCCATTCTTCGGCGATCAGCCTTCTTTATGGTCCAGCTCTCACTTCCATACATCACTACGGGGAAAACCATAGATTTAACTATATGGGCCTTTGTTGGCAAGGTGATGTCTCTGCTTTTAAAGATGCTACTGCTACCTGCCCTAAAACACACACACACAGAGTACCTTTCAAGCCACTGCCATATTTTTCACTCCATAAGATGCACTTTCCCCCTCTTAAAAAGTAAGGGGAAATGTGTGCGCGTCTTATGGAGCGAATGCAGGCAGGAGGCTTTGCTCAGCGCTCCCTTTAAAGAGCCGTGTGGAGCGTGTGTGCGGCTCTTGGGGGCAGAGGTCGTGCATGGCTATCCCATAAGCCAGGACAGCAAGAGTGATTGCTGCACAGCGATCCCGCTTGCTGTGATGGCTTATGGGATAGCTGCGCGCAGCCTCTTCCGGCCAGGGGGAGCCTTCGTCCCGCTGCCCTGAAGAGGCTTCGCACAGCTATCCCAGAAGCCAGAACAGCAAGAGGCTATTCCCAGAAGCCAGATCCCTCTTGCTGTTCTGGCTTCTGGGATTCAGAATATTTTTTTTCTTGTTTTCCTCCTCCAAAAACTAGGTGCGTCTTATGATCCGGTGCATCTTATAGAGCGAAAAAGACGGTAATTAATCCTCCCCTCTTTCTTCCTTCTGTTTCCATCCTCCTACACCCATCCAGATGACAACAATTTGACAGTCATCCTCATCGGAGTCCTCGTTCCTCTCGCGTTGATCCTGATGGTGGTGACAGGTGTCTGCATCTATCGACAGCGGAGGAGCAGGTATGGGATTGGGCAGGGCAGGCACAATGGGTATGAGGGGGTCCGGTTGCCTCCTGCGGGACACTGGGGGGCTCAGGGCAACAGGAGAGAGGGGGTTTCAGAGGAGCAAGGCGTTGATATTCGTATGCAACGCCCTTAAAAACTCGGAAGACATTTACCTACGAGATTGCCACATGCGCTCACTATGATTAGCAGAATTGGTACTTTTACAGGTGGGTTGGACTCAGTGATCCTTTGGGTCTCTCCCAACTCTGTGATTGCCCACCTCACACCCCAAATCTCCTCAAATGTCCTGTTCTTATGTGCTTCTCTTTTCCTCCTGTGTAGGCGGGAACATGGCATGCTTACCTTGTCAGATCCAGGTGAGTTGAAAGCAGGAGGAATCCCTGGTGTATATTATTATTATTATTATTATTATTATTATTATTAAGTTTATAATCCGCCCTCTATCTGGTGGTATCTGGGTGGTTCGCAGAATAAAATCAAGATATAAAAGCACAAAATGCATAATGAAAATAAAAGAACAACCCAATAGTCCCCCCCCCAAAAAAAAACACATTTTAAAAGGGCATGGCATGTAAATCAGATTAACCAAACACCTGGTTGAAAAGGAACGTTTTTGCCTGGCGCCTAAAGGTGTATAATGAAAGCGCCAGGCGAACTTCCCTGGGGAGAGCATTCCACAGACGGGGAGCCACTGCAGAGAAGGCCCCGTTCTCATGTTGCCACCCTCTGGACCTCTAAAGGCGGAGACACACGAAGAAGGGCCTCAGAAGATGATTTCAGGGTAGATTCATACGGCAAGAGGCGGTCCTGAGCCATTTAAGGCTTTACAGGTCAAAAGCAGCACTTTGAACAGCTGCCTCAAGGCTCCTGTTAAGTTGTGGGTGAACATATCAGACGACACAGCAATTCTTCAAACAGCTCTTGTTTATTCAGAGGCCAGAACAGAACTGAACTGCTCAGTCAGCCTGCTTATATAGAGCTCCACTACAAAGCAACAGTAACAACTTTCTGTAACTATCCAATCACTGAACGTCACTTTCAATCCCTTATTTGCATACAAACTATCCAATCACTGAACGTCACTTTCGATCCTTCAATTGCATAACTATCTACAGTATCCCCCTGCTGGCCCAGGGTGAGAACTTCAGTACATAACATCTCCACCCCAGTCAGCTGCACCCAAGAACATATACAAGAGGCCTGTATAGCTGGGTCAGCCCAGTAGCAAATTGAGTCCTGCATCCTGTTCTCACAGTGACCAAACAGCTGCCTGTTATGAGAAACCCAGAAGCACAATTGCTACATTCTCCCCTCCTGCTGTTTCCAGCAACTGGTTTTCAGAAGCATCGCTGCCTCCAACTGTGGAGGCAGAAAATAACCACCCTGGCTAGGAGCCTTTAATAGCCCTCCCCTCCTCCATGCATTTTTCTAATCCTCTTTGGAAGCCCATCTAAGTTGGTGGCCATTGCTGCCCCTCAATGACTCCTTCAGGGCCCTTCCAACTTTACAACCTTATGGCTCTGTTATTCAAGCCCAGGGTGCTCTTACATCACTCAGGATTATTATTTAGTGCTTATTTCATTCACATACTCCCCCTCCCTCGATTGTGGAAAACTGCAGAACAGTTTGCAAAAAGCATGAATAGGATTATTAACGAAAGTATTTACGGAAACAGCTCTGTCCTGCACACAAAGGAAGTCGGCTTGGATCTTGGTATCATTACAATTATTATTTCTTTTTCAGGCCAAGGCACGCCTCTTCCTTACACGACTGCCGACAAGACCACTCACTTCTGACTTCCGCCCCAGATCTATTGCTGAAAATATTCCTTCCCGGTCACACGCCCAGGGTGGGAACCTTCAAGATCTGACCAGCCGGGTTGCTGAAGGGGCAGAGGCGCTGCAAATAAAGGCTGCCCCCGCACCCCACCTGCTTTCGCTTCCAGGAGTCTGTCTGGCCAGGTGAAGGAAAATCAGAGGAAGTGGAGGAGGTTGGAGACACACGCCAACCCATTCGCCACCCTGGCATCTGCTGACACACCTTTCCCGCCCTCCGGGCTCTGTGATGCTTCTAGACTTGGCGATCCCATACAGAGAATAGGCTTGGCAACCCAAATTCTGCCAAGGCCACCATTCCCAGCCAGCTGCTCATAGCTCCCCACCCTACCCTCTCTGTGGGGCCAGCACACCTCATCCCACACATGCCACCCCTATCTGGGCAAGGGAAATGGCGCTGAATTGTGTCCGGAACACCAAATAAAAAATAATAAATGAATGCAAATAAAAGCCTTCCTCTCCAGCATAGTATCTCTCTGTGAGCGTTTCATTGCTGTGATGCAGCAGCAAAAGAGGCTAATGCTTTTCTAGGCTGCATCAGCAGAAGTCTGGTCAGACCCCACCTGGATCATAGCTGTCAACGTTTCCCTTTTTTTATGGGAAATTCCCTTATTCCAAATAGGATTCCTTGCCAGAAAAGGGAAAAGTTGACAGCTATGACCTGGAGTCCTGTGTCCAGTTCTGAGGACCTCTGTTAAGGAGATTGACAAGTTGGTTCGTGTGCAGAGGATGACGGGCCAAGATGATGACGGGTCTGGAAACTGAGCCTTGTGAGGAATAGCAAGAGGGAGTTGGGTATGTTTAGCCTGGAAAACAGGAGACTGATAGGAGAGTCATCTTCAAATATCTGAAGGGCTGTCACGTTGAAGGTAGAGCAATCTTGTCCCAAGGGAAGGACTAGAACCAACAGATTCATATTACAAGAGGGATTCTGACCAAACATTAGGAACAAATGTCTGAGGGTGAGAGACCTTCAATGTTGAACAGACCACCTCAGAAGATGGCAGGTTCCCTCCTTCATTTTTAACACTTAAAAGGCAGTTTTAAAACCAACATTAAAATATCACAACAAACATGAGATTTTAAAGAGAGGCTGGATGGCTTACTGCCTGGGATTCTTTAGCTGTGATTCCTGCATTTATTTTATTTATTGAACTTATTTACCAGGGGTCTCAGAGCGGTTCACTATAAAATCAAGATATAAAACCACAAAATATGTAATAAAATTAAAAACAGCAACCCAGTAGCATCGCAGGGGGTTGGAGTGTGTGGCCCTTGGGGATTCCTTCCAACTTCAGCTCTGTGATTCTATCATTTCCTTCCTGCAATTAGCTGCTCCGTCTGCAGCTGCGTAGCGTGGATTTAACTCCAGAAACTGGCAAGGAGCCCTTAGGCAGAGGGCTTTTCCTTACTGGACAGCCCTCCTTTCCCTTTTTGAGGGCATAAAAGTTCCTGGGGGGGGGGGGGAGAATGCACAGGTTGGCATGAAGCAGGATGAGCCTTGTTACCGGAAAAATCCGAGGGCTCCCTTGGACAAAAACAAAGACACCAACCAGGATAACTTGGAGCAAAACAGCAGCCTGTAGGCTTGGCCTTTATTGAACTGTTGCAACAGGGTGCTCCCCTCACTTGCAGGAGAGAGAAAAGACACAGAAAAAATGGTGTGCAAGGCCTTATAAAAACTTTTGAAATTCCCACCCTGTAGATCAAGACCACCCCCAGAAACATCATGCATACATCACAGAAAGGAGGGGTTGAGGGAGGAGTTGTGGTGGTAACCTGAGTGTCCTGTCACCTGGCTGGTTCCCCCTTTCCCCCTCCCCATGAGTCACTTCCAGGTGACAGAGGGGAGTTTGCAGTTTCCTGCCCCCAGAGGGAAGATCTGATTATTGTCCTTTGTTCCAGTCCATGCTGAATCCACTCCCATATGCAAGTTCTTTGTGATCTTGATGGTCTTCTGTCTGGGACCATCAGGGTTGGCATAGCAACTGGGCAGGGCTCCTGTGGATGTGCTGGTATGCTCAAGGGATTATGGCTGCCCTGTAGCAAACCTTCCCCATTTTGTAGTCCTTCCTTCATGGAGTAAAATAAAAATGGAACAGTGCAAATCCGATGTATGGTTCATTTTCTATGAATTTATAACAGAAGCGTAGCGTATGTAGTGTGTGAAGTTTGTACAAACTGAATGATGGGGGGGAGGGGGTTTCCTGCGACAGCTTCCTGGTGCCCACCCCACCCCCTGCTCCAAGTCCGCGGATCCTGCGCCCTCGCCCGCCACACGCGCATCCAGCCCGGCCGTGTCTATCCCCTATTCAGCTGTCCCGGGCTTCGCCTTGGTCCCAGGGCCCCTCCCCCAACCGCAGCACCGCTCAGCCAACAAGGCCGTGGCTGATGCTTCAGTTGTAAAGATGCACGCAATTAACACCATGAGCAGCGGTCCCTGCACTCCGGGGGAGAAGGGGTTGGACTGGATGGCCTCTGGGGTGCCCCTTTCAACCCTATGATTCCAGCAAACGGGTTTCTCAAGACACGTTTCTCTTCCTGAGGCGACGCTGTTCCGCCTTCTCACAGAAGCGCGCCGGAAGCCGCTTCCGAGACCGGAAACGGGTCCGCCGCGCAGGAAGAGACGTTTTTCCCGCCTTCCCCCCCCCAACAGCGGCGCGCCGGAAACCGGCTTCCGGGAGCGGAAACGGGTCCTCCGCGCAGGCGCAGCTGAGACGGCTGAGGTGATTCCGTTCCAGCCTTATTACACCGCTGCGCGCCGGAAACGGCCTTCGGCGACCGGAAGCGTGCCTCCGCGCAAGCGCAGAGCCTCCTTTCTCCTCCTGAGGCGGCTGAGGCGATTCCGTCTCCGCCCTATTTCACCCGCGGCGCGCCGGAAACGGCCTTCGGCGACCGGAAGCACCCCTCTGCGCAGGCGCAGAGCCTCCTTTCTCCTCCTGAGGCGATTCCGTCCCCGCCTTATTACACCGCGGCGCTCCGGAAGCCGCCTTCGGTGACCGGAAGCGTGCCTCCGCGCAAGCGCAGAGCCTCGGTTCTCCTCCTGAGGCGCCTGAGGCGATTCCGTCTCCGCCTTATTTCGCCCTCGGCGCTCCGGAAGCCGCCTTCGGCGACCGGAAGCGCCCCTTTGCGCAGGCGCAGAGCCTCCTTTCTCCTCCTGAGGCGATTCCGTCCCCGCCTTATTTCACCCGCGGCGCGCCGGAAGCCGCCTTGGGCGAGCGGAAGCGTCCCTCCGCGCAGGCGCAGAGCGGCGGCGGTTTGTCCCCCCCCCCTGCCTGAGGCGATGCTGTTCTCCCTGCGGGAGCTGGTTCAGTGGCTGGGCTTCGCGCCCCTGGAGCTGCTCCTGCAGGCGCTGGCGCTGCTGGCGGCGTCGGCGCTGCTGGTGCTGAAGGCGGACGGCGGGGAGTCCGGGGCGGCGCTGAGCTGGTGGGCGGTGCTGGCGGCCTTCTTCGCGGCCGACGGGCTGAGCGCCTACTTCAGCACCATCGTGTCGGTGCGGCTCTTCCAGGACGGCGAGAAGCGGCTGGCGGTGCTGCGGCTGCTGTGGGTGCTGACGCTGCTGAGCCTCAAGTTCGTCTTCGAGGTGCTGCTGGGCCAGAAGCTGGCGGGCCAGAGCCGGGAGCTGTGGTTCGGGCTGCTGCTCTCGCCCGTCTTCATCCTGCTGCAGCTGCTGATGATCCGGGCCTGCAGGGTCAACTAGGGAGGGAAGAAGCAGAGCCAGGAGGAGGACAGGGAAAGCGAAATAGAAGGCCGGGGAAAGGAGAGGAAGGCAGAGGAAAGAAGAAAAGCAAGGCAAAGGAAAGGAAACCGAGAGAAAGGCAGGCACACAAGACACACACACCCCACATCCACCTGCAGCAGCAGCTGAGCACTCGGCCAGCCCAGAGAGAGGAGGTGGAAGAAAGCAAAGCATGCATGCACGCACGTACCGGCAGCAGCAGCGGCTGAGCGCTTGGCCCAGGGAGAAGAGGCAGATGAGAGCGAAGCAACAATCACCCCCACCATCCCCCACCGCACACCTGGGAGAGGAGGCGGAGGAGAAAGAGGCAAGACCAAGCAAGAACGCCGTCCACACCTGCCACACCAGCAGAGCGTTCGGGACTGTGCCACAGAGAGGAGGTGGAGGAGAGCAACGCAAACGCACAAACACAACTCTGGCCTGCTGCCCCGGCTGAGCTCTCAGGACCCGCCTAGAGAGAGGAGGCAGCGGCAGGGCTCAGCTCCTCTTCCACGGCCACCTATCCAATGCACGCTGCTGCTCCTTCCCACTGCGCCATTACGGCACGGAACTGCGCCCGCCCTGCATGAACCGGGGTGACTGCTTTTGCGCCCTCGCTTGGACCCTGCAGTGCTGCCCTCGGACCCTCTGCCGCCCCGTGAGCCTATCGGACCCTCCCTCCACCCCCAAAAAAGGTTGGACCCTCAACGTAGTTATTTAAGAATAAAAACTCACAACCCGGGAGAAATATTAGCAGCGAACTCTGAATTGCAGGGGGTTGAGCTAGAGGACTTTGGGAGTCCTTCCAACTCTGTGATGATTCTGTGGACACTTTATCTTTCCCCATCCTGGAATGGCCATTGCGTGCGTCCCGCCAGCTCCTACATTCCTGGTATCATAGAGCAAAAACAAGTTTGCCTGCGTTCTCTGAACATGTGCAGTTTTGCAATTTATTTATTTTTTTAGGACACTTTATCATTGTACCACCAGGAATGAAATGAAGCCTTCTGGCCCTTTCAAGTCTGCCCTGATACTAGAAAGGTTTACTTGAGAGTGGAAGGATGGCACCAGTTTGTTTAGTAAAACAATAAAAGTTTAAAAAATACAAAAACGAGGGCCTGCAGTTGTGTTACATGCCTAAGCCCCCTGGCTGACTTTCTTCCCTGATAGCATCTCTAGGTCAGGCTGGTCATGTCCCCCACCTGAAACCGCAGAGAGCCCCTGCTGCCAGTCAGCTTAAGAGGAAAACAGGAGCACAGGATGCTCTCTTATACTGAGTCAGTCCATTTTGGTCAGTGTTGCCTTTGTTGTTGTTGTTTAGTTCGTGACCCCCTGAACCAGAGCACGCCAGACACTCCTGTCTTCCACTGCCTCCCGCAGTTTGGTCAGACTCATGCTGGTAGCTTCGAGAACACTGTCCCACCATCTCGTCCTCCGTCGTCCCCTTCTCCTTGTGCCCTCCATCTTTCCCAACATCAGGGTCTTTTCCAGGGAGTCTTCTCTTCTCATGAGGTGGCCAAAGTCTTGGAGCCTCAGCTTCAGGATCTGTCCTTCCAGTGAGCACTCAGGGCTGATTTCCTTCAGAATGGAGAGGTTGGATCTTCTTGCAGTCCATGGGACTCTCCAGAGTCTCCTCCAGCACCAGAATTCAAAAGCATCCATTCTTCGGCGTTCAGCCTTCTTTATGGTCCAGCTCTCACTTCCATCCATCACTACTGGGAAAACCAGAGCTTTAACAGTGTTGCCTTTACAGGCTGGCAGCAGCAGCGACTCTCTCCAGGTTTTCAGACCAGTCACCTTTCCAGCCCCAGCTGGGAGATGCCGACCGAACCTCTGCACCTTCTGCATGCAAAGCAGGTACCCTGTCCCTGAGTTGTGGTTCTTTGCTTCAAATAAAGCCAGGTTTCTAGCACTCATGATTACAGATAAAGGGCTGCATTAAACAGGAACACTGGGAGCTGCTTTAAACTGAGTTGGACCGTTGATAGGTTTAGCTTAGTATCATCTGCGATTACAGGCAGCAACTGTCCAGGATTCTGGGCAAGGAATCTTCCGCAGCACTTCCTGGAGGGCCTGTCAGGGACTGAACCCTGAGAACTTCTGCGTGCTAAGCAGACACTCTGCCCTTGAGCTACAGCCCTCCCAGTTCTGAGCTAGATGTTGCTATTAGTAAAGGTAAAGGGACCCCTGACCATTAGGTCCAGTCGTGATTGACTCTGGGGTTGCGGCGCTCATCTCGCTTTATTGGCCGAGGGAGCCGGCATACAGCCTCTGGGTCATGTGGCCAGCAGGACTAAGCCTCTTCTGGCGAACCAGAGCAGCGCACGGAAACGCCGTTTACCTTCCCGCCGGAGCGGTACCTATTTATCTACTTGCACTTTTGACGTGCTTTCGAACTGCTAGGTTGGCAGGAGCAGGGACTGAGCAACAGGAGCTCACCCCGTCATTGCGGGGATTCGAACCGCCGACCTTCTGATCGGCAAGTCCTAGGCTCTGTGTATTATTCATTAAATTTGTATATGACCCTTCACCTGTAGATCTCAGGTTGGTTCACAACATAAAATTACAACACGGGCAACGACCAATTTATGCACGTCCAATTAACATGCGATTGTGCACATCACAGCGACCTGGAAGTGGCTGGAAAATGGAAGGGTGGCTTTATGCATGCTCTGCTATCGCACGCAATGACCTGGAGCGCAACCCCTATGCAAATCAGGGGTTGCCTGTATTTTAAAAAAAGCAGTGGCTTTTAAACTGAGGTTGGGAGGACATCTGTAGGAGATTCTTTGGCTGTGAGCTGGAACCTTGGGAGGCACTTCCAACTTTACAAGTCTGTGATGCTACGATCCTATTGCCAACATCAACTAGAGCAGGCCCTGGGGTGCCAGTGACAAGGGGCCTGATTGCTGCTGCCCCCATCCCCTGCCTTTTGGGGTGACCCTGGACTGTGGCTGCTGAGGTTCAGCCACCGTTGCACCACCCCAAACATCTGCCTTCGCTGCCACCTACGCAGCTGGCAGCCCCAGCGCCTCCTTCCTGTTTCAACATTAACCACCAGTCATGATTCAAAGGAAAGAAAACCCACAAAGGCCGTTGTGCAAAGCCAAAGCTGATTGACTGCTGACAATCCTTGCACAGCACAAAGTAAACACAGATACATAAGTCTGAAATAGTATGGAGAGCAAGTCTAAAACCATGTTTAGCCTCCAGCTGATCTCCAGTCAGAGAGCAGGAATTCTTCCAGGGCCTCCCCTCTGCAAAACTAGTTCAACATGTTTGGAGAGCTTTCTGAACTGACCTGTCAAAGAGCAGATGTCTATGTGAACAAAGCAGATATCTGTGTATGAATCTTTGACTATGGATTCTGGAGTCAAGGTATTTGCCATTTCAAAAGGATGCCAGGAATTAGCAGATACAGTGGTACCTCAGGTTAAGTACTTAATTTGTTCCGGAGGTCCGTTCTTAACCTGAAGCACCACTTTAGCTAATGGGGCCTCCTGCTGCCGCCACTCCGCCAGAGCCCGATTTCTGTTCTCATCCTGAAGCAAAGTTCTTAACCTGAAGCACTATTTCTGGGTTAGTGGAGTGTGTAACCTGAAGCGTATGTAACCCGAGGTACCACTGTATTCCCAGACATCTTCATTGACAGATTCATAAGTATGTTGGAGAAACATGAACTCTGAGCATGTAGAACCCATTTTGTGATGCATCTGGAGTGGTCTTTATGCGCCGGGCGATCACTATCCAAGGGTTTTAAAACTGCAACACACGGGTTCTCCCCACCTCCTCGCAAGGAGGGAAGCGAGGAGACGGTTGCAACAGACCAATAAAGATCAGCAGCTTTCTTTGCATCCTTGGTAGCCTCCATTTGTATCTCTGACCATCAGTGGACCTACGAGGGACCTAAAGTCCCTTCATGGGGAGTTGGGCTGGGAAAGCCAACCCCAGTTCTCTAGCAACGTAGACAAATGGGCTCATTTCTCTGCCAGCTTCTCTGCCAGCTTCCCTGGGCTGCAGAGAAACCAGCTTCCAGGCTCCATCTATGAAACTGGGTTTGCGGGCAAATGGGCCCAGGATGGCACCAAGATATAGTCAGGTTAGGAAATGAGTCACTCTGAGAACAGGATGCTGTTCTCAGAAGCAGGTGCTTCTGTTCTTGTGGTGTAGCCTTATGAGGCTTTGCCCTCGGGTGGGGAAAATATTGCGCCCGGGAAAGGGAAGTGGGAGTCAACAGACACTCAAGGAATAGAGAAAAAGCTTTATTTCTACCATCCATGAACTGGTAGAAGGAGCAAGTGTGATAACTCACAAAAAGCATGCACGAGTTCACAGTCATGTGCACAGAGCATATATACCCCTTCCAGATCCCTCCCCATTTCTCCTCCTCCTTCCAGAGTCCTGCCCCATGAGTTCCTCTGAGCATGAACAGAAAGCTGTCTTGGGACTCTTGGGCTCTTGGCACCCTTCCCAGGAAAGGGGGAATGAGAGCCAAGGGGTCGAGGAGCCCGGGTGGTTCAGCATGTTCAAGATGTTGCAACCAAATGAGATAAGATTCAGTTCTCAGGCCTGAGTATTCTTGGCATTGACAGAGTCTATTCATTAGCCTTTAAAAGTAACATTTTGCCTATGCACAGCATCTTGTGAGAATAAGCAGAGAAGAGCAGAGAAAAGCTGTTTTGGATTTTTAGAAGACAAAAGGAATTTTGGACAGTTTTGAGGCCTGGGGTGATTATTGAAGAATGGGGTGATTTCAGACAGGATTTGGGTATCCTGTCTCTTCAATGGCAACCAAAACAAGGTGCTGGAGCGACTCCCCTAGGAAGAAAAGTCTGCAGCATTTGGGGGTTTTTAGTTTGGAGAAAAGGCAAGCGAGAGGCAGTGTGAAATAAGTTTTCAAAATTATGCCTGGCCCTGAGAAAGCAGACGCAGAGAAAACGACTTCCTCCATTCTCTCGAAACACTGGAACATGTGAAAATCCAATGCAGCTGAATGTTGATTCAGGATAGATAAAGTCCTTCACATGGCACAGAGTTAAACTGTGGAACTCCCTCCTGCAGCAGGCAGGGAGTGCCACCAACCTAAAGGTAAAGGGACCCCTGACCATTAGGTCCAGTCGTGGCCGATTCTGGGGTTGCGGCGCTCATTTCGCTTTACTGGCTGAGGGAGCCGGCGTCCAGCTTCTGGGTCATGTGGCCAGCATGACGAAGCCGCTTCTGGCGAACCAGAGCAGCGCATGGAAATGCCGTTTACCTTCCCGCCAGAGGGGTACCTATTTATCTACTTGCACTTTGACGTGCTTTCAAACTGCTAGGTTGGCAGGAGCAGGGACCGAGCAACGGGAGCTCACCCCGTCACGGGGATTCGAACCGCCGACCTTCTGATCGGCAAGTCCTAGGCTCTGTGGTTTAACCCACAGCGCCACCCGCATCCCAACCTAGATGGCTTTAAAAGCGGATTGGGCAAATTTCTGGAGGAGAGGACTATCAATAGCTACTTGCCATGATGGCCAAACTTTGCCTGCACAGTTGGCGGCAGAGATGCTTCTGAACACCACTTGCTGGAAACTGCAGGAGGGGAGAGTGTTCGCTCTCGTGCTCAAATCCTGCATGGGGGCCTCTAATGGGCATCTTGTGCTTGAACCCTCTTTGCTGATCGGCCGCGCCAGATATAGGATGGTGCGGGTGGTTCCCCTGCACAGGGTGTTGAGCCAAGTAGGCACCAAACAGAAGATCCACCATTAAGAAGATCCATTTTGGGGCACCAAATCTTGCCCTTGCGCAGGGGTCCATATTACAAAAGATTACCAAAGCCCACCCCCTGCTGGTCGGCCACTGTGAGAAGAGAATGCCGGCCTATTCTTGTGTTTTCCACTTTTTGGCTATTAAAATTCGTGCAGATGAAGATGATGGACTTTATGGAGCTGGCTGATCTCACTGGGAGAATCCATGACCAGAAAGAAGAGGAATATCAAGAAGATTGGAAGAAATTTAAAGATTATTTGAATATTGTAATATTAAAGATTAGTAGTTACTTGAAAGTACTAAATAGGCCTAGGATTAAATAAATAAATGTGATATAGAATGTTAAGAAAAGTTAAAAATTTGATTATA